GTGTCGTCCCATGTGGGGTTTGAACCCACAACACTCGGCGCAGTAGGAAGCGGCGTGGCGACCGCTTAAACCACTACGCCATCCGTGCAGTCGATGTGGAAGTACTTAATAAATACTTTTGTGTACATCACTATCGACTTACGCAGCCCTCATACCACGTCCTAACAACACTAACGTTACGTCATTACCACAAGTACCTATGCCTACTGACTTTACCCACACGAATTCAAATTCTACTCCAAGCGAAAATCTTCTAAACATAATATTTTAGTTTTATTCAAACACTGACTGACTGCTAAACCGGAGATCGTGGGTTCGATTGCCACCCAGGATAAATATTTATGACGATAAATGATATTTAATTCTGTATGTAAATCTTTTCAGATATTTTTACAAGTCGAACTTTACAGCTAGAAGCCGGCATTTCCTAAGACTCACTCTGGGAACAAACGGCGTTCTTATTACAATTTAGCACTACAGCCACTGATATGTTATTTAAAAATAAATTATTTTATTTGTAAGAAAAATATATTTCAGGCTCCTGTGCGTCATGGTGGGTCTTTACAAAAAAAAGAAAGATAGGTTATCAGTTGAAAGGTTTTAGGTTTGTTAAAGTGTCGGCAGCCTTTATGCCAGTCCCTGAAATTGCAAAGGTCAATAGACGCATGTCAATAGGTGGAAAATATGCTTATTTGTTACCGGCGAGATATAAAAAATTATAAGTCAGTAGTAACGAAACTCAACCAAAATTTAGCCTTAGTTACTTAATAGTATTTTTAAGATAAAATCTAAAATATTAATTATTTATATACCCGGTCCCAACACGCGCCGTCACACAATGCGAACAACAAAAAAACTAATAATAAAACGTAAAAAAAAACACATTTACGTGTTACAAAACTGATATTGTTCATATAACCCCTATTTTTCGACCCCACTTGATTAGCATACGTGACAGCTGCGCGCGCAGCCGCCATATTGTGACGTCATTATCGATTGTGCCGACAAAATCGATATTATCGAGTGAACACCTGTGGCTCGTGCCACGCACTGTCTTCCGGGGGCACTGACCTTTTTCTTGTAGGGATATGATAAAGCCCCCAGGGGTGCATATCTTGCCAATTTTTTTTTGTATATTTATGGTTCATTGTCATCTTTTTTATAGGAGTTACAAGTTAATCATGTTTTGAATCATTCGAAAAATGTCAACACTTAGTTTGACAGAGTGTATTATATCACTATAATCATTAATCATAGTTTTTATGGGATTTCTCTATTCGTAACATCAAAACAAAATATTACCCGTCTTCTTCCACATATCCTTATTAATAATTATAATAATAACCTCACACATCTCACACACGGCGCGGTCTTCTAATCCCGAACCAGGTAGTGCCTGTATCATGGCAACCAGACTGCTGATAGGTAAACATACTTATATGTTTCTAAATAGACACCTTTTATAAATAAACTACACCTAGACATAGAACAAATGATCGTGCTCATCATACAATTATTTGTGCTGGGTGGGAATCGAACCCTCGACCTCTAGCTTGGCAGTCAAGATCACTATCCAATAGGCCCGTCTCCGTTAAAACATATTTTTAAGAAATCAACTAGGAATGACATCACGTCTAACCATTGCCTAACCAATTTTTTTTTCTTTCACTATTAGAATGCTATTTTATCCCAAAAAAAAGCTATATTTAATTTCAGTAAAAGAAACAGATTTTTAACCACATCACAGCAAATCTCAAACCCATTTTTATATTTGAACATATTAAAAAGACTCAGTAATATGCTCAGTTGTCTCTGTACGTACGGCTTCATGGCTGTCGGAAACGAAGGGGAAACCGTTTGGGGTGCAGAACCGCTTCCGAAGGTAACTCTATATTGTTTTATCAACCCTTTTTAACACATATCACGATTTTAAGCATAATGAAAGGGTCATTATAGGGTTGGATTTCGTATTTTAGATTTACCCAATGGGTCAATTTTTTGTAACTAACTTTAAAAAGTATCAGCTTCTTCAACGCGTGTATATGTGTATTCTTCATTTCTTAGTTTTCAATTTCACCGAATTTGAATTTGATCTAACGGTACGAATATCCTTTATCATAATGAAATATTTTTTCAAATCGATTCATAAATAATAATGTATAATATAGCTCATAGTATAATATATACAATACGATTATAATCTATACTAATATTATAAAGCTGAAGAGTTTGTTTGTTTGTTTGTTTGAACGCGCTAATCTCAGGAACTACTGGTCCGATTTGAAAAACTCTTTCAGTGTTAGATAGCCCATTTATCGAGGAAGGCTATAGGCTATATATCATCACGCTAAGACCAATAGGAGCGGAGCACCAATGAAGAATGTTTCAAAAACAGAGAAAATTTATTACTATTGAGAGACGCAGACGAAGTTGCGCGGGTCAGCTAGTATATGATATAGCTAACACATCTCACACGCGGCCGTCTGATCTCAAACTAGGCAGAACCTGGGCTATGTTACATACATATTATAGATATATACACCCAGACACAGAAAACAAATGACCGTAATCATCACACAATATTTCTCCTGGGTGGAAATCGAACCCACGACCTCCGGCGTAACAGTCACTAACCACTAGACCAACAGGTCGTCGAATATAAATGACGGAATTGTGTAACAAACATTAAAAATAAGTTGTCGCCCTTTGGGTCCTCGTCCGTTAGAATCAGGGGGAATAGGAGGGGGTCATCTACGCCCTGTACATGGCCCGAGATACGTCGGGGTACCAGGGATTTTCTTTCTAGGGTACACCTGGTTCCCCGCCTACTGGTACCCGAGTAAATACCATATTTCATATAAAACGGTTCAGCGGTTATTAATTCCCCATAGAAAACTTCCACCCCTCTTTTCATCCCCGTAAAGGATGATTTCTGGGATAAAACTACCCTATGTCCTTCCTGGGTACTCGGACTATCTCTATACCAAATTTCATCTAAATCGGTTCCGTGGTTTAAACGTGAAGAGGTAACAGACAGACAGACAGAAAAACAGACAAACAGAAAGTCAAATACACTTTGGCATTTATAATATTATTATGGATTAGTATGAATATTTACCATGGAGGTACGATTTTCCAATATTTCAAATGGAAATGGAAATAAAATAACATCAACAAGAGTCGAAACAAACAAATTGTGTAATGTAATCCAATTTAATCTTAAAAAGACAGCTTCTTGCGTTTACCGCGCAAAAAGATACCATTCTCGCAATACCTCGGTTCGAAAGCATTCTATGATTGTCATACCTAGTATCGGACCCTAGGCGTAGACATATCGAGCGAAGTCTTATCAGCACCAAAAAAGACCACCTCCAATGTAGGCCTGTGACTCCTCAGTTACAGGTGTTCATGAGAAGCGGTTGCCATTTCCCATCAGGTCGCGACATGTCTGCTTGTTTGCGTCCTATAGGTAATATAAAAAAAAAAACTATTTTGGGGACATAACTTTTCGAACCTCCTAAGTCTAGTAAATAGTCCACTGTTGGACGTAGGCCTCTACTTAGAAACGAGGTTTTGGTCTACTATGCCACTCTGGCCAGTCGGGTTGGTATAGGGTTTCTGTCAAATTTTCCTTTTCTTAGCAGTGCTGTTGTCCTGCGTAGTTTGCTTAGTCGGCTCTTATGACACCCACGGAATAAATATAGATGATGACACTACGTAGTCTTACCTTGACTGATGACCACTGATGACTGATGATGATGTGTGGTCACCACACGGAGTCATCAAAATGCCTAAATTGCTAATCTATGGGACAGTAGCACTAATCCTAATGACGCTAAAAATACATTAAATCCACTTTTTTTAAATCGCATGGTTTATCAAAGGTTATTATGATTTTATTCAATCCTTAAGAGCTACTACTTTTCGATTGCAAAAAAAAAGGCATAGATCGCCTGTCCCTATTCAAGTAGGATATGAAATTTTATTGATTTTGCTTTTATTTTACTATTGACATAAAAAAGCAATGGTTTTTAGCACCTTTATCAAAAAGACAATTTTTCCTCATAGTTTTTAAAATAACCATGTTAACATAGTAAATACATAAATAAAATTAAGCCATTTTAAACTTTGACGCGCTCTTCTGTAAAATTGCTGATTTGCAGATCCTACATTCTTAATAGGGATGGGTGAGATATAACCAGAACAGTGTTTCTCTGGTAGTCACTCATGGGTGGCGATAGTCACTTTCCATCAGGTGACCCGTCTACTCGTCTGCCCCCTCTAACATAAAAAAAAACTCACCCACTTGGTGACATGGTACAAGAGCATTGGTTGACACCGCTTTCCTGTGAGGAAGATGGAAGTGACACCTAAGACTATGGTCAAGTCTAAAATGGTCAAATCAAAACAGCTATCCCAAACATACCTTATGTTCTAATGTGAAAGTGAGTTTGTTTGTTACGCTTTCACACATAAATAACTAAGCCGATTTTAAAGATACTTTCACGAATGGAAAGCTACGTTATCAGCGAGTAACATAGGATACATATTACCGCGATAACCAATATATACACGGGCGGAGCCGCAGGCAAAAGTTAGTATTAAATAAATAAAATTCAGGTTGAAAATCGTAAGCGAAGTTAAGTATGTTAATTAGGTCAAAATAGAATATCTTTAATTACATAAATGTTTAGTTTTAAATACCATTAATACACCTTTTTATAACATTACTTCGTATTTAAAAATACATAAATATTATCCTATACAATACAACTTCATAAGGAGGTCAGATTCTCTTAAAGCTTTTCCAGATAAGTACTACAGTAATTTCTACAAAACAAAATCGATTTTCCTATTAGAATGCCACGAGCCGATAATTTTATCTACACAACTACTCAATAAATAATAAACATGTTATCGATGTTGTCGAAAAATCAATAACAAAAATTCCGGGCGCCATTTTGTGACGCTACGCTACAAAATTAAATTGAAAATCTTACCGAATCAATGTAAGAATCGTTGTTATCCAGTGTCATGAAAACATTCTCTTTATCCGTGCATATTTCTAATTTGTTGTCTTTTATAAATACTTTTATAATAATCTCTGACATTTTGACCTAAAAATATCGAACAATTATATTAGAAATCATACCCTCGTTGACCTGTAGTCATAGCAACGCCACAACGGCAACCCCAAGTTACTCTGCAACGAAATTCTATAACCGTCCCTTTCACCCTCGTTGTTTTTCCCCTTGAGAGCAAAAGAGATGGCTACAAGTTTAATTTTGCGTTTCAGTAAAAGCGCCCATTGTCAAAATCGATATCGCACAAGGCTAGGCGTCGATTATCTGTTCTTTGACTTACTGAACCATAATGTCTTAACTCCAATGCCAGTTAAATCTTATTTGCTCTCTATGCTTCGACAAATAGAGTCTAAAATCGTAATAAAATTAAATGTATTAAGGTTCCTAAGTTTTGCAGGGTTGTTTGTAGGGAAAATGCTTGCTTCGTACATCGACTATTGATTTTTGCGATCCCTCTTGTCAATAGCACTGGCGTATTTCGATTTATTGGATAAATTCAAGGGAGATTCCTTCGAAAGATATATTCAAGCTTTTTATTGCTTGTGGGATAAACACCTTTTGTAGTAGTACAAGATATTTTCACTAACTTTAAAAATAGAATGATATTTTATTTTCTGCTTTGACTGTTTCTGCAAATGGTTCGGAAATCGAACTTACTTCGATCTCCAAGGATTACAAAGATATAAATTTAAATAAAGTTACAATAATACGTGTTTAAATTTAAGTTCAGTCTTAATCCTTACTATTATTAACGTAAATTAAAGTAACTCTATCAGTAACACTTTCACGGCTAAACTGCTGAACCGGTTTAAATGTAATTTGGCAAGAAGATACTTTGATTCTTGAGGAAGAATGTAATATATCTAATATATCTCACACATCGCACACACTGCCTTCTGATCCCAAACTAGGCAGACCCTAGACTGGTAACTAGACAGCTGATAAACATACTTATATATTTTTAAATACATACATATTATAGATAAATTACACCCAGACACAGAAAAAATTACCGTGCTTATCACACAATATTTGTCCTGGGTGGGAATCGAACCCACGACCACCGGCTTAGCAGTCAGGGTCACTGACCACTAGACCAACAGGCCCGTCTACAGCCTATATATAGGCGCGTATATAGGCTAATTTTAACCGCATAAACATACACGCGGGCGGAGCCACTGGCAAAAGCTAGTAATTAACATTTATTAACGTTAATAACATAATTAACGTTATTAAAAGTATGAACATCTTCAATGGACCTATATCATAAACGCACACTTCTATACACACGCACACAACCCTCTATGTCACACACATATACACACACACACAAACTCACTCACGCACACTCACTGCCAATTGCAAAAGCCACCTTGAACCCTGATTTTCATAACTATTGAGATTCTAAATTCACTTTAATTAGTATTTCATTTAATTGCAATAACTAACCCATTAGTTTTATTACTATTTTTGTTCAACGGTTGTGTAGCCACAGAATTTGTTTCTAATGTTCTGTGGTAAAATTGTGTGTCTGTGGAAGCATTGTATTACCAAACTGTGCCATAAAAGAGTTGCTGGTACTTATAGCACAGGGTTTAATTTTTAAGTATCAGCAGTGCATTATTTGTGATTACTGTAAAATAACAACCATGAAATTATGTTTGTAAACTTTACTTGTGAACAATAAATACAATATTATTATTATCATTATGAATTCATCAGCATCACCAGCCTTTAGTAGTCCACTGTTGGACCTAAGCCGTTCCTTAGAAAGGAGGTTTCGGCTTACGGTTTCGGGTCGGTATAGGGTTGGTTTTAAGTTTACCTTCTGTTTGAAGTGTTGTTTAAAGGACATATAATTATTTATAATTAGCTTTTCCCCGCGGCTCCGCCCACGTGTATCATTACGGTAAAAAGTACCCTATGTTAATAATAATAATAAATGATAATGTAGCTTTCTATTGTTGAAAGAAGTTTTAAACCCGGTTTAATGCCTCGGTGGCTGTCTCGGTAGCTCAGTGGTAGCGTATGCGACTGCTGTTCTGAGGTCTCGGGTTCGATTCCTGGGTCGGATCAAATATTTGTATGCTCTGCAAATATTAGTTTCGGAGTTTATTTATTTATTTATTTATTTGAGTTTAGGTGTTTTATATGTATAATATGTATGTAGTTACAAAAAAAAAGTGTGAAAGTATTCTAACAGTCAATCTAACTTTCATAGTACAAGTTCTGCTTAGTTTGAAACTAGATGGCGTTGTGTTAAATGCCTGAAATATTATTATAATAGGTGTTTACCTATGAAATTGCCGTTTTGTATGCAATAAGAGAAAGTACTTATTTTTTCAAACTTTTTTATTTCTGTTATTCGAAGTAATCACCCATGCATCGACGCATCTTTGCCAACGCATTGGCAGTTTATTGACGCCCTATTGAGTAATAGTCGGTAGGTGCAAGGTCTGGCTGTCACATCTGCAACCAGCTTTGGTCAATCGGTCGTCCCCACTGCTCCTTCACGACAACGACGACAACCTATTATTATTGTAATGGTTTAGGCGTAAAACCGTAACAAACAAACAAACTCACTTTCACATTTAAGTATAATAACATATGAGGACCTAATATTGGGCCTTCTGCTTCTATGTTATAGAGGTAAGCGATACTAACTGTTAAGCCAATGATATGTACGTATTTATACTCTTTTCTAAGGAGAGGCCTTCGTCCAGCAGTGGACTGTTATAGGCTGTTGATGATGATGATGTATCTATACTCTATACAAATAAATAAAATTGAAGTGTCTGTTTTTAATGTCCATAAAAATGACAAAATAATAAGTTTATTCATGCTCACACGGTTATTTGCACTATACCTATGCCTAAAAACCACTTTCAATATATTTTTTTCTCTCTGTCTGTTTGTTCCGAGTAATCTTTTTACCGATTTTTACATTTTTTTACAACCTAAGGAGTAACTTAGGCTATTTTTCCTCTCAGAAAAACCCTAAAATGTATTGCTCATGAACTGCAGTCGCGTAATGTACTAGACCACTATGGCAACGCTTTTGAAATAATTTGTCATGGGTGTCCACGTCCACAACCTCTGGTGTAGTAGTCAGGTCAGGTCAACCACTAGACAAACATGCCAGCCAATATGGGAGCTTGGTTCGTCTCTGTCATCCGTGATAAAGATATGCGTGTATGTATATAGTTAATACTCGTATTCTCTTAATGTTAAAAAAATTGCCAATAGAATAAGCATTGTCGCGTGTATAAACCTTAGTGACCCGGACTGCTAAGCCGGAGGTCGTGGATTCGATTCTCACCCAAGACAAATATTGTGTGACGCTTATTATCATTTGTTCTGTGTTTGGGTGTTTTATTTAAAATATTTAGGTATGGATTTAGAAATATTGAAGTATGTTTATTGGCAGTCTGGTTACGATAGTATAGGGTCTGCCTGGTTTGGGATCTGGCACAGTGTGTGAGATGTGTGAAGTTATTATTATTATTTTGATCCGGGGCAGGCAGAACCAATTAAACGCCATTTGGTACGATCATGACCTCGCTCAGCTTGCCTTTAGGCCTTCATCAGTTGGCACCTTTAAACGAGGCCCTTCATCAGTGCACTGACGGCATGAAACTGACACAAAAAACACCCAGACTCAGAACAGCAATTGGTCGATCACACAAAGCGTTTTCCATGTGGGGATCGAACCCACAACACTCAGCGCAGTAGAAAGCGGCGAGGTGACGCTTAAATCACAACGCCATTGGTGCAGTCAAATACTTTTTATTAAAGTCTCAGACATACATTTAAAAAAATGTGGGTGTGTTCAATTCACAGAGGGCAGATCGGATCGAACCCACTAAGGCAACATTTTTCAAATTTCACGCGGAAGAAGTCGCGTTCACCAGCTATTATTAAATAAAAAGATAAAAATATGCACACTGTCAAAATACTATATTAAAAATAATGTGTACTATCTCTTTCACTCGCCGACTTAATCCTATACATTTATGTGTTTGTTTCTTTATGGTGTCGCATTTTCGTTTATCAAACAAATATAAACAAATATCATCATCATTAACAGCCTTTAATAGTCCACAACTGGACAGTTGGATTTATATAGAGTTTGTTTTAAGTTTCCCTTCTCTTTGCAGTGATATTGTCCTGAGTAGTTTACCCCCTTAGTCGACTTTTACGACACCCACGGGATAAACAGAAGTAGCGACACTCTGTATTCTTAATCCCTCACCACACGGTACAAACTCTTAATAATAAATAACAAAGAACAGATTTTTTTTTGCAATATGTTCAATTTCTTCAATTTTTTTTTCACCAACAGCCTTTAAAATACTAACAAAAACAATACACACTAATATCTCATTAAAATTAAGAAGTGAGGATAATCGGTTAAGGCGACTACGGCGTACTAATAATTTAGTAAAGGACTAGGACCTAGGACTAACTATGGCAAATATAATATAACCTATGCGAGTGCTCAACTATTTAACAATTTACCAAGTTCTATTAAAGATAAAAGACATTTAAATACATTCAAAAAAATATTAAAAGCCCACTTGCTAAACGAAAATAAATAAACAAAAAAAAAAACTAACTTTATCCATTTAAAAGTAACCCATTGTCAAATTTAGAAATACATAAATTAACAATTAAATTAATCACTTATTAAAGATGCAACGCTTAGTTGAACTTGTTAGTCAATAATGTATCGCATCTAGTATTTTACTATCTTTGTAATGTGTGCATAGCATTTGGTCTAATGTTTGAATGTAGGTAGGATTAAAAAAAAATTTTGTTTCTGTTTTGGGTTGTTAAAATTTAAGTCAGTAGAACTACCTATGTATGTCTACCTCCTTTATTTAATTTTTTAAATGTAATGTTATTAACCACATATTATTTGTAATGAATTTTGTTAGCTTTGATACTGTTTGAGGATTTTGTTGTCAAAATTGGTAAAAGGTAATTATTTCAAATTTTTTGTTACTTCACATGCGTACATACATTTAGACCCTCATTGTCACATAATATTAATTTTTTACCCATGCATGCTCATCGGAATATTTAATAGTTATTAATGTATAAATTCTCATGTAAGTGAATGTACAATTCTTATGAGAATAAAGATTTCTGAAACTAATATTCTACTGTTGGATATGTCCAACAGTAGACTATTAAAGGCTGCCGACTGTAAAGAGGTCTATGGGCCTCTCCTTAGAAGGGATGTTTTTGGCCTACTATACCACGCTGGCCAGACGGGTTGGTATAGGGTTTGCCTCCTCTTTGCAGTGCTGTTGTCCTGCGTAGTTGCTCCCTTAGTCGGCTCTTTCGACACCCACGGGATGAATTGTGGTGATGACACACTGTATTCTGTAACAGTTATCTTTTTAGTATATTTGTATTGCGTAAGGAGTTGTAAAAAGCGACATCTATTGCCTCGCGTCGCATTTGTGGATTTATCTAAAGTAGTTTGTAACTATGGTATTGTTGTTCTTCGTCCGCCATCGGACCACTAGATGGTTTTAGAGGTAAGTCATTGGATTAATTTATCCTGATAAATTGTATTGGTGTTATAAGTGACCTGTTATGGTAGGAAGCGAGTTACTTTTGATTTAGTTCGTGTTAACCTAGATAATAATTTGAGTGACAGTTTGAAATGTTAAAGTAGGGATTCTTTTTGGAAACTTCACAAACCGAACATATATAAGTCCGGCTTTCAGCCACAGGGGAGACTCTGCTAATTCTTGTCTTCCGACCTTAAATAGTATTTTGTTTGTCTGGTAATTTCAATGTAGTAATTTTTTAGTACTGTTTTATTGTTCGAAGTACCCACGCAAGTGGTGAGTATATTCATAATTTTCTTGTACTTATTTGTTTCTGGAACCTGATCGATAATATGAGTGCTAATCCATTCGTAGGGTCCCAGATTTCGGGTCAAGACGGTCAGTCTCAGACGGCGTGCTTGTTCATTTGTGGCCTTCTGGTGCGAAATCAAGTTTCTTGGTACCCTCTGGCAAACTGGCAGTCACGCGGCTCACCAAACAAGCAGACAGCCGTACTCAAGGGTTACGTACTTCTCGTTAACTTTATTTATATCATTGGTGAACCTTCCTTTATACCTAATATAAATAGCCGACTCGGGCGTAAGGGGAAGTGACCTCCTGGATTGAAGACGAGGAGGCTCCGAGCAGCATCAGCTCGGCTCTGCCGCTGCGGTTTTTTTTATATACCCACTATTTTTTATTTTAACTGTTTTTTTATTGAAATATACATGTATGTATGACTGAGGTGTAAGTTGTTTTTCTCTAAGGGGTCAGCCGGTGAGTAGTCCGCCTGAGAAGAAAAGCGGCTACAATTCTTAATACGTCACGTCTTAATTTTATAATATTTATTTATTGATTTGCCCTTTTGTTCTGAATTGTTTCTGTTTCTCTATAATAATTGTTGTTTTAATATGTCCCTGTCGTCCTGTCCGTGCCTCTTGGCAAAGGCCTCCTCTAGCTCCTTCCACTGGTTTCTGTCACGAGTCATTTTATAATAAAAATAAAAAATGTTTATTACCATATAAGAAATACAACGTGACAACAGTGTCCTGTGGCCCCACACTAGGCAAGCCTGTCCTGTGGGTACCCAATTCAGTTTACACATTTGATTTTACATTGTTAGCTCGGACAATATTTTATCAGAGGTTCAACATTTAGATGAAGCTTACATTAAAACAATTTAATTAACTACATGCTAAGTTAATTATTGTTTGGTAAATACAAATAGATATTTATACAAAGCAAATGTGAGTTATGAGTAAGTATATAAGGTTCTATGTATGTTCATTTTATGATTTGATGATGTGGATTAATTTGTGGATTAATAATTAATTTCAACATATAAAGTAAATAAGATAGGTGTATATAAGTGTGTATATATTATATGTATTACAATAAGGATAACAAAATACTTTCTGTTGAGTCGTAGGATAGAGAGGTGAGCCGCCTAAGTATTTTGATTTTTGCCTCTCTTACAGAACATTGTTTGATATCACACGCACTAGCTGCCTTGTTGTATATATAGTTATCCTTAAACGGGGTAAATCGTCTAGCAAAGCTGGTTTTGATTTTGGGCACTGGTAATCTAAATACACGAAGTGAAAGTAGGTAAGTCTGTGTATTCCTGCGAGGCAATTATTCTTCTGTGAACAGCAAGGACTGTTTTTAAAATGAATAGTTTGCGTACACTCAACACTTGACTTTCCTCGTACAGCTTTGTTGTTGGGTACCGAAATGGCTTCTTGTGCATCACTTTAAGTACCGAACGTTGCGCTCTTTCTGCTTGAATAAGCACTATTTTTTGTGCACTACCCCAGGAGCCAATGCAGTATGTTATCAAGGACTGGCACAGAGCATAATATACTGTCTTTAATATGTCTATCGTCGCGGATGACTGAAGTAACTTAAAAATGTTTGCAGTCTTGCGGGTTCGAGATGAAAGCACGCTAATATGCTCCTTAAAGTTGAAATTTTGGTCAATCATCACACCAAGATATTTAATAGTATCTGTTTTGGTCAGTTCAATACATTTACACAATTGATGTAACTCTTAACAGTCATGCAGTTTTATGTTAAGGTTTTGGTTAGGAGCAGAGGGGATAATCTATACTAATATTATAAAGCTGAAGAGTTTGTTTGTTTGTTTGTTTGTTTGAACGCGCTAATCTCAGGAACTACTGGTCCGATTTGAAAAATTCTTTCAGTGTTAGAGAGCCCATTTATTGAGGAAGGCTATAGGCTATATATCATCACGCTAAGACCAATAGGAGCGGAGCACCAATGAAGAATGTTTCAAAAACGGAGAAAATTTATTACTATTGAGAGACGCAGACGAAGTTGCGCGGGTCAGCTAGTATATATATTTATTTCTTCTCTCACAAAGAAAATGTCACATTAATAAACTAGTAACAAAGTTATAGATTAATTGTACATTACAAGAAGATGATAATCTGTGTGAGAGACTGGTATCCGTGCTAGGTAAAACCTGTATGACAGATGACCTCTACTTGTCAATTAATGGTAACAATGATGCACCAGGGCCTCAATTCTGGCCATTGGCATCGGTATAAAGATCGATAGTCTAACTCAGTGTCTTTACAGTGGCAATGGAATGGCAGTGGCTCATCAGTGGTGATATCAAAAAGATTGCCATATTTGGAAAAAAAAACATTTCCTTATAATTTGAAAATTTATAACGTTTTTTTAATTTTGGTCCATAAAGTTGTTATGAATTTATCATATTTATTGATACAAATGTATAAACTACAACGACATAATACACCGCAATTAATAGAATTATCGTTGCTGTTTTTGTTGTTGTTTAGTTAGTGTAGACTACCGAAATTTATACAGATGCCAATGGCCACTCAATGGCATCTCAATAGCGTGTCAGTGGCATACCACTGACACACTATTGAGATGCCATTGTCATAACACTGTCATAACAGTGGCTTGGCGTGAACATAAAATAGCAGAATTGAGGCCCTGGTGCCATGCCTGACGCTGACGCGGCACGAAAGTTGACCAAAATAAAAGTTGACAATATAAGGGTGTTCTAATAAACTCCTATCTACCCCTTCGGTTATAAAAGATGTGAGTAAAAGTATGTATGTAAAAAATAAGAACAATTACTATGAATAATAATCGTCTTCTGTATTTTCTTCTTCTTTAACCACACCAAAGTTATTTTGAGACTGTTTGAACTTTAAAATTGTTTTCATTAATTCTATCCTCAGAAGATACTTCTGTTCCATACCGTACTCCTTGAAACTAGGCAAAAGAGAATAAAGAAATGCCTCGTCATCGTCCATAAATCTTCTACTACTAGTAGCAAATTCTTCTTCACTCTCTTCCCGGGATTCTTCTGCAAAAGATGCACTTAGAGGATCTTTGGAGTTTGATTCTAGGTCTGTTATTAGGAAAGAGACTTCATCATGGCTAGATGCTGATGTTTCATTAATTATGCTATGGGTGTATGGTGTCAAGAACTCAAGCGCATCAAAATATTTGTACTTCTTCTTTCCATTGCTGCTCGATTGTGTCTTCTGAATTATCAGTTCTCTTCTGAAGCAGTCTCTTAATGATTGCCATTTTTTCTGGACCTCCTTACCTGAAATATATTAAAATGTTTATGGAATTTGCAGGAACTGATGGTAAGTGACACCTGCAACTAAGATTTACAAGTGCGTTGCCATCTCTTAAGTCTTACCAACCCACCCCTCCTCATCCCATTAGCACGTTACATACCTAGGAACCTACTTGTAAAATTTCAGCGTTATACTGCTCATCTTTGGACAAGCATTTAGACTAGAATAATATTTTGATTGACCTTTTCGTCTAGTGGTTACTGATACCAGCTGCTAAGTCAGAGGTCATAGATTTGATTCTCATCCAGAACAAATGCTATGCTATGCTTTCGTTAGTTTGCGTGTAGATGGCGCTGTATTAAATATAGCAAAATATAATTATATCCAACATTCATCCAGAACCATTCAACCGTCAGAATTTAAAAATCCTATATAAATGCTATCATCGTTTTTTCTAAACAAGTAAGAGACAGTGATAGGATGGATGAATCACGACGCATAAAGGACCGTTTCTTGAGTCTAAATGCGGAAACCGGAATCCACCACCGATATTAATACCAAGAGAATTAATCAAATGACTTACAATAAATTAATTTCCGTCCATCATCAAACGTATCCCAACGTGAAAGCAATAGAGAACACACATGATCCCACACTTGCCTCTTCTTGGGTCTATCATAATAGTCCTTATGATTGTTATCGTATAAAACACGTTGCTTTCTTATCACTTTAATTAAATTTTCTATATTAATATCCATTGCATATACACAAGATACTTTGGTTATGTAGTCAACGACTGTTGTCGGTGGAATAGCACCGATTTTAGAAGAGCGGCAACATGCGCGGCGGTGTGTAGGTGCCGAGTCGGTCGTGGTAGCCTCGTGGCGTGTACACGTTGCCGTTCCGCTTATAAGGTACCTATGTTCTATTTTGTACCGACTATCGGATCGGTAGGTCATTATGTTGATAAATAAAATGAGTACAAAGATTCTTTAAAAAAAATATTAATCGGTTAAAGTATTAAACATGCAATAAGAAAATAAATTAATGAAGTCATCCAACTTTAGGCTTATAAATAGAGTACCTAATGTAATAATAAAGATTTCACAAATTTTAATATTAAAATAAGCTAACACAGAAACCGATACGAAAAATAAAGTAAAGTATAAATTCGCATTAGCGCCCTCTATTATCGAGTTTCGAAAACAGTGCATTAACTTATCTTTTTAAATCGTTTTAAGGGAATAACATAGATGGCGCAAGGATTATAAATTGACACTACTTTGTTCTTCTAAAACGGGCAATTATTTTTACAGAGAAATGAGCATCTAACATAAAAGAGTAGATAAAAATTCAGATAATATTAAGTATATTTATGACACATATTAACAAATTTAAACGACGAATATCAATAATTTATTCATTTTCATTAATTCTTTTATTCTTTTTCTTTTATTAATTAATGTTGATTAAGGTAGAACATTTTGATAGTAAGGCGGTGAGTCTGGGCCAGAAAGGCAGCCTGAACCTCCACGCTCAGAGGCATGGTGTTTTGACTGTGAACTTCAGCATGGTGCTGTGCTGTGAGTCACTGTTGTGCTGTCTCTGCCGGGATAGCACAGTGGCGGTTACCTACATACTATATATCGTCCCCGTAGTTGGAAAATTAAATAACTATGATTTTGTAGTTCTGAGTTAAACGCGATTCAGTGGTTTTTTTTTCAGTTAATGTACATTTGTTAAAAAATGTGAGGCAATTTTAGTGTAGGTAATTTTATATTTTGTGGACCTGATTACCTTTTATATTTTGCTTTAACAAACTGAACTCTATCTTTAACTATAACAAAATAAAACATTAAAAATCAAGTTGTTTAATTTTGCCACAACTATTATTTATAACGTAACTAAAATTAGCTACTTATTTCGGCTATTTATTTAGTTTTCCTACAAGCTAAATCCATTTGGTAGAGTAAAATTTGGTGAAATAAATGCAGTTATTGAATTTATCAAACTCGAAATATTTTTAAATGTAAAACTTAGTGGCTTATATATATTTTTAACCATTAATGGTCTCATATAAAATAAAAGCTGTATTATGATATTAATAATATATATTTTGGAAAAAATATAAAAGTACAATAAAATTTAAAAAAAGGGTATTGTAAACAGATATTTATCTTGCCACAAACTTAAAAAAATAAACAAAATTGTAGCAATTATAACAAGTGGAAACAAATTAACTTAAAGTATTCTTTCAAATCAAAACAGAAAATAATTTAAACCCAAAAAATAACAATAAGGCTCTAAAATCAGAGACCTAATTACAAAAGACATACTTAAGTAGTAAGTAAAACTATGAAAAACTTAAAATAGGTATGTTATTTAATTTATTTGCCATTTAACTTATCATTGACCACAGTTATTGATTTATTTACTGAGTTATTTATTTTTCCTTCAAAAAAATAGTGTTAGTCTGAAGATATTTATTATTCCATCTGTCCGACAAAAATGGCTATATTTTTGGAATGGAATAAGATACGAAAATGCCTGTAAGGCTCAAATATGCGGCATGTTGTAGGTGTTTGAAAATAGGGAAAAGTCAATAACTTAATTAATAATTTACTGCACGGATGGCGTAGTGGTTTAAGCGGTCGCCACGCCGCTTCCTACTACGCCGAGTGTTGTGGGTTCAAACCCCACATGGGACGACACTTTGTGTGATCCACAAATTGTTGTTCTGAGTCTGGGTGTTCTTTGTGTCCGTTTCATGTATGTTTGTACAGTCCCCCGCGACACAGGATTTATTCCTAATGCGGGAGTTGTCTTTAAAAAAAAAAAAAAAAAAAACGCCAAAATCGGACTTATTTAATTTTCCAACTACGGGGACGATATTTAGATGTATAACTAACACTATTGAGTCGCGCGCTCGAAAGCTATAAGGCAACTGAAAATATCTTATTTGTACCCTTTTTTTTTGTTTTTTTTTTTTTTTCGTGCGGAAATCCCCTCGGATGCCACCTGTCGGTGGCATGTCGGACTCGAACCGACTACAGCCGCACGCCGTCTCGGGTACTAATAGCCGGGGAACCAGGTATACCCTAGAAAGGAAGTCCCTGGTGCAAGGTTCTTATTTGTACCCTCATAAATATTATATTTACACTTGCGTCCTTATAAATGTATGTAAATAAACTTACCTTCTTTTTTACACATACACAATAGAGTATTAAAGCCTACCAACTAATCTAAAAATCCCAAGATGATCGTATCGCAATGTCGTAGGGTTAGCACACACACGCACACTCATGAATACACGAGCGCGCACACGCGCACACACACACAAACACAGTTCACGTTTCATTCATTAATATTCTTATGTTCTCTTCATCATATAATCATATTCATTTATTTGTTTTATTTTACATCTCTCATGTCCACACTTCCACCTGGTTACACTTAATGGAATAAATCAGAAAGGTAACTTGTCTAGAATTGGAGAGGCTGGTAAATCTGTGATACAGGTCCTCCTAGTGCAGATACCAGTCTCTCACACAGATTCACCTAACCAAACACATAACACCTAGTCACGGTACTATTATAATACAGTACTCCAACTTCATACTAACGGACGAAACGCGAGCTATACCTACGCGCCTCGATCTCGGGGTGCGCTCGGGGCGCAGACAGTCACGGCTGTACCGCAGTGTCGAACGGACTGTGTGTTGTTTTTTTAACAATAACCGCGCGATATTTTCTCTAAAAATCAGTTAATATGACGAGTAGGAAATATTGTGCTGTTTTTGGTTGTATGAATTCGTCAATAAAGCATCCAGACATAAGTTTTTTAAAATTACCTGGAAACTCTGAAAGGTAAGACTATAAAATAATTTTACTTACTAGTAGGTAGGTACATAATGTGTGTCTTTTTAATGTATAAGTATTTCCTTTTATCTCACGAAAAAAAAGGTGTTTGGATGAATAAATAGAGTAACGGAAAGTTATTGAGACGAGTGAAATAGGGAGTTATATGCGGTTCTGAATGAATCATGATACGGTAGGTACCTACCTACTTACGCTTGTGTTAAAACTTCGGTGCATGTGTGATTTGTTACTTTGCATAATTCAAAGTAAAGACGTGGTATTTTATTATTAATAATATTGGTTTATTATCTGTGTGTATGAATAATACTAAAAAAAAATTTTTAAAGTCTGTGTGTCATTAGACAGTTTTCGAAATTTTCACAAAGTGTTTCTGCTGCTTATAACAACATATAAAACTAAAAACTGGTTTTATTTTCTCGGTATTAACAACAACAGCTAGAGCTAGGTTGTGATTTTAAAACATTCGTAGTCAGCTGTTCAGCTTTTTAATAATTAATTAATTGGTGACCAAAGAATTTTTGTTTTGAGTTGTTGCGAGTTGTAGGTAGGTACCTAATGTATAGAGACGTTAATAAGCTGAGATAAAAAGTTACTTACTCGTCTTGCATTCTAGTTGAGTAGGTAGGTGTTGGAGTTTCTAAGGATTGGAGTTTTGTAACGCGTAAGGAGAAAGCACATTTATTTTATTTTATAGAAGGATTTTTTTCGGTCGCAAATTTATAAGCCCGATTTGTTTTTTAAACAAAAACATGTTTTTTTAATTAAATCTACCAATCAAAAAACAACACGCATTTTTATTGAACACTTCCTATTCAATATACAAAGTATTTCATTTATTTATATAAAAAGGATATTTACAATCACAAATCTAAATAGAAACAGAAAGTAGGCAAATATAATTAAAATGCTGGAGACGGGCAGCCCTAACGCATGTTTACGTACCGCGCGGCTGTAGGCATTTATTTCTATCATGCGGCCGAGTTACAGTACTGTATTATAATTGTACCGTGACCTAGTTGAAGATAAAATAACTGTAACTATTCTGTGTGAGAGAGAAAAATAAACGATTATTTTAATATAACTTCAAATGAATAAATAGTTGTTTTCAAACACTGTTTTGTAGATTTGATGTGCTTTTAAGTTTAAATATAAGATAACTGCTCAAGAGGGGCACAAACAGCCGAGGATCAGAAACTCTCTTACACTCTTCAATATCACAGATAACGCACCAGGTGCTAGTGCGTATTGAACGATTTAATATAGGTTCTCCATGAGTGACCATAGTCCAGGGATACCCATAATCTCTCGCTCGATAGCCTAATTGCGGCTATCGTGCGGAGCGAGAGTGCGTGGAACTCTGCCGTCTCCTTCTGCGAGCAAGTTATGCTCGCGAAGGAGACGGCGGAGCGGAACCGGGAGAGGTTTAGGACTCTCCCGGCCCGGCAGGCCCGGGAACGGGCCAGGTACCGCAGGCGACTCATTTTAGAAAAGGGCTCTCTTGCCCAAAATAGTTACGGAATCCCTGCTTTACTTTACGGCTTAACACCTTACCGTTAGTACTCGATGAAGCCAGGACCCGTGGTGGTGGTGGTACATCAACAAAAAAAAATAGTTAAAATATCACATTATTTCTTTACTATCAAGGGGTGGGTATACATGGTCTGGGTATTCCACAGAGTGGGGCGCCTACCGTCAGGGTGGCTTTTCCTGCATCACTACAATGGCATCCTCGAGGAACCGGAGATCGAAGGAGATGTGATCCTCTCCGTTCTCAAACCAAATATAAAAAAGGTAGGTGTAGGTACCTACGTCGAATAAGACATTTAAATAAAACTCAATTCGTATGTTTGTTTGTTTGTATTGCATCAACTGTAACACTTTCAGTTTTCATCGATATTGAGCAAAGTTTACCTACATTATTATAACTGCTCACATTGTGGTACATAATCATTCATTTATAAACATACAGAAGAAAATACAAAATAAATAAGAAACTTTAAACCAGTCAACAATAAAATGCCGCGCACACTAACCTTGTAGTGGCGTCATTTTATAACTTTACTGAACATGGTTTTTGCTTTAAATAAACGATTGTGTATCACACGAAAGCATAACAACGCATGCTATGTCATAATGCTCTGACCCCTTCCATGACAATACACACACGACAAAGTGCCGTTTCATATTTTGTTTTAAGCTTTAAGCACCAATTTTCTTTATAACAAGTCGTTCGAAATAATTAAACGACTAAAATTCTATAAATATCTTACTATGTATAGGTTAAAAATACATGTTATAACATTTTTACAAGTCTATCTTTAGTTTACTGCGTGAATCTAATGGCGTACACCAGCTTAACTCCTCATTCGTAAATCTCTAATTGGAGTACACCATTTGACCAGCACGTATCTATTTTAAAAAATAAAGAAAAATTGTAAAAAACCTATTTTAAAATATGAAAGCGCGGAGGACATGATTACAAACATAACATATAAATGAATCCTAATGTTAATTTATATAGTTTAAGAAATATAAATACAATTCGGAACTTATTTACAAACAATGCTCATGGATACACTTATAAAAAAAACTAAAATTATTAACAAATTCGCTAAAAAAACAGTTAAAAATAATTTATAAAAGATGAAATAAAAATATACGCTAGGAGTATTTTTCTATTGGTTAATTATCCTTATATTTATTTTCTTCTATTTACGTATTATGTATTCAAGGGATGTTTCGTTCCATTAGAAGGAAATAAAACAAAACCATTTCACAAAGTTCATAGAATAGATAGTTTTTCTTTTATATATCAATAAGCCATGCGAGAATCAAAGTTGTGTCTACTTTTAAAATAAAGCGTGGCTATTCCGAGAGTTGCGTAGAATACGAATAATGAATACACATGACGGTAAAGTATATAGGTACATAATGGGGTATAATGTAGGTAGGTACTAAAATTATACAATATTATAGAAGTATTTTTTTTATATTTCAGCAAAACTACGCATAGAAGCGTTATTTAATAGTATAATATTTATTACATGAGGGTTATAATTTATATCTCTGGATTCGAAATTAACTTCCAGACTGCTGGGTGTCCAGTTAATTACATATTGTTTTTTCAAAAAATCATAGTAACATGTTAAGATATTCTTGTAGGATAACAAAGGGGATTTTAGGGGTAAATTTCGTTTTTACATTGCGCCTAAAAAAAGTAGGTGTTTTAAACTCACAAAACCTTCGGGAGTACATACAAGCCTTTGCGAAAATGAATTCTAAGTATGAAGATCATCATCCAAGGTCCAGGCATTCGAAATAATATTTATTATTTATTTCTAATTAGCACGTTGTATAGAACGCATCATAAATATTATACAATATTGTTGTATCTAAGGCACATAATGTTTAGGCTTTCAATAATTACTCCATATTATTACGTCAATATTAATGATGCTAATAATGAAAAAAATTAATCATGACGCGAAAAATACACAATAAATTAATTAATATACATGTATTTACCACGAACATGACAGTTTCTGCAAAGCTACCCAAAAGAACTACCATTCCTACGTTTGCTGTAAACTAAAATAACACGTTTCATCTTATTATACCACTGTACCATATCTTTACAATGTAACAAATGCATTTCATACAACATGTTCCGGTCTATCGTTTTATAATACATTCATTTTTTTATTATTACAGCACACAAAGTGCATTGCCAATCATACAAAAATCAACTATTTCAATATAAGACACGTTCAGAATGAACAATTGAATCACAGTCTAGAATTTTCGGCACCAATGAGCTTTAAATTCGTCACCAATATTAATATTGCCTTCCCACGTTACAAGGTTATCTTTTTCAGAATGACGAAACTGTTTTTATTTTGTAATCAACAAGCCTTATTACATTACTATTATTTTCTAATGTTTTTTTTTTTCAATTTTTACATTCTAATATTGTTGTCTATAGCTAGCAATTGACTAATCCCGCCTTCCTGCCTAGATTGACTATAGCCGTGTCTAATATATTTGTTTTCAAATAGCTATGAATTGTACCAAACTGCCCTTTATTTTATATTCCATAATACCCAGCCTCTCGCCATTTCTTCTATAGAAAATATATCGCGAACTGTCCGTATATATATGTTAACTACTTCAGTACCAATTTCTAGCTTCACTAAAGCCGTATTTTTGTTTATAATTATATATTTTTATTGCTTTTAGTTTATTGCTAAAGTTCCCTATTATAACAATACACAATTTTAAATGTAAACAGAGCTTTTAATGGTATAATACAGAACAAAATGACAAGAACAAAAGATTCTATGAAAGCCTGAACAAAGACCAATGACGCTACGTTTTGTGTCTCAATTTTTTTTTTATGTATACAGATTATATTCAGGTCATTGCTTTGCTACGAACTTAATTACCACGCATATTTAGCCTAGATCTATTTAAAAATTGTGTATATATATTTGGATTTCATTAAGTGTAATTTGGCCGCATTTTTAAGTTTCACACTCCTTACTAATATATGTAAGGAAAAACTTTTTTATAATTGTAAATATTTTTTAAAATTTAACATTAAATTTACAATGTATTTCTAATGACTAGCTTTCCTCGTATGGCCACTGTTGCGGAAACAAAAGTTTTGAAAAATATTAAATAATTATAATTCTCTAATATTTATGTTATGATATTTTTTTATTATGTGTTTTGTAACCATAAAGTGTACATAAATCTAATTTAGAGTTGTTTAATTGACAACTGTAGTTATATTACTCAATCAGTTTGTGATATTTAAATTTCAAGAGAGTTAAAAATCATTCATCATCATCATTCTCAACAGCTTTTAATAGTCCACTGCTGGACATAGGCCTCTCCTTAGAAAGGAGGGTTTGGCCTACTATACCACGCTGGCTAGACGGGTTGTATAGGGTTTGTTTCAAGTTTTCCTTCTCTTTACAGTGCGGTTGTCCTGCGTAGTTTGCTTCCTTAGTCGACTCTTACGTCACCCACGGGATGAATAATAAAATTAAAAATTAAAAAAAAACATTAATATGGTAAAATAATCTTTCGTTAACTTTTTGACTAGATTTGACTAAACTTTTTATGTTATATGTTTTAAAATTAATGTGAAATGATAAAGTGAAGCCTGATTTTTATAAATTGTACATGAACAATCATATATTAGACAATTTGTTGGTAACTACTGGAAGGAATCTACTAGAAGGTTTGGTTACAAAACACATAATTATTTAGTTAAACATTATAAAGTTAATGAATCAACCGTTACAGGTATGAGCGGATATATTTATAAAAAAAAAACACTACAATTTATAAATCCCTATTAAATAAGTTATGTTAAGTTTTCTTATGAAAGGCACCTATAAAATGTCAGTTGGCATATGCCTAACTACTAGATTTATTGTCGCTTTCGATGCCAGAATAAACAAAATAATAATCTCATTACAGTGTATTAGTCTCTGAGATCAATAAGATGTACATTTGTGCGTAAATTACACAAAATTCCTTTGCCCTTTTTATTATTATTATAAAATAAAATATATACCAATATAACTCGATCGAAAGAACAATAAACCAACTAATCTCTTCGCTACTAATTACAACTAAACTATTATATAAGCAAGGCTCGTCTTTATTAAATATTCGTTCAATAAATAAAATAATAATATTATTAAACTAACCGACTTAATATCTAATCAATTTTTATGTCCATTACAAAACACACAACAACGAAATAAAAACAACTTATAATTATCACACTTTCGTCAAAAAACGTGTTTCGCTACTGGAAGCATTCATACGCCTTTTCTGTTTCACAGCTCAGCAAACAATAATTTTAAGCTGCCCTTTTATTAACACTTTATTCACTATATTACTGGCAGGCTCGATCATATCATACTTGTTTCTTTATATTCTATAAAAATATTAGAATATATGTTGTTTTATTTCGTAGCTTTAATATTTTTTTTACATAATTATCGTTGTAGTATTGTATTTTGTTATCGCCTTAACAAGTAATAAATGAAAACCGTGTCGGTCGCCTGTGCGTATTTTGTCACTATTTTTTTATGAACATCGTGACAAGGTTACGTCTTGCAGACGGACACAACCGACCACAGATTAAAAATTGTAAAATCTAAATTTCAACTACAACCTCAATCCTTTAATTTCATTTTATATACACTAACCCCTTCTCTAGAGAGAGTATGGATGAAAAAACTAAACAGTTCGATGTGAGACGGGTCTCCAATGTGGGAGATGCGCTGGCGTCCACCTGAGTACTGTTGGGGGCTCAGGGGCTGATGAAACACAGGGTATGGAACCGACACTGTCAATCGATTCCAGGACAGAGCCAGGTGGTGGTACAGCCTCTGGTCCAACACACGAACCGACACACCCGACACTCGAAGTTCTCGCACACGCAGCTGATCCGACAGTTGCCTCAGTCGTGACGTGAGCGTAGGATCACGGTGATCGTAGGTCCGGAGCCGGTTTATCCGGGGCGATGTCGTCCGTGTGGTCGACGACGGGCCCCACGCTCGACCCGGTCGTGTCCATCGCCGTCGCCTCGGAGGTTATCACGGAAGATTGGAAGAAGCGCTCTGTCGAGTTGAATTGGTAGACTGTCTTAGCAATATAACTTTGTTCAAGTTTTAAAAGATTGAGAGTAAAAAAAACATAAAACTAAAAAAAAAGTTGTGTATTTTATAAATTAAAAAAAAATCTAATGTATTTTATGTATGTAAAGTTCATTTTAATCAGTATGAATAGAGTAATTAACAAAATTAAAAAAAAACATTAGGTTGTTTGTTCATCATCACCATCATCAACAGCCTTTAACAGTCCACTGCTGGACATAGGCCTCTCCTTAAAAAGGAGGTTTTGGCCTACTATACGACGCTGGCCAAACGGGTTGGTATATGGTTTATGTCAGGTTTTCCTTCCCTGGTTGTTTGTTATATGTATTAAATTAAGTTATATAGTTTTTAAGTAAGTCTCAAGGTAGAGGTTTTCATAAATGTATCTGAACTTTTGAAGAAGATGATCTACTTAAAGGAACTAAGATCTGGACTAATCTTTTAATTTTTGAATGACAGGTATTAAAATGATATCAATTAAATTAATAATGTTGCGCCATATGATTAAATAGTTCGATTGTATGAAATGTGGAGGACAGCGCCATCTAGTATCGACCAAGTACATCTATTAAGATTGTGGTTAAAACGAGTAGATCTGATCCTTACAGCGCTAGATGGCGCTGCAAGTAACGCGTGACTGATTCTGGCAAATTCGTGTTTGTTTGGCACGGACTGTCGAATACTAGGAACTTTCTAGTAAAATTCAAAAGCGCTATAAAAGCGAATTAACATCGGACTGAATTTCTAGTTAACAAGATTTATAGTGATTCCTAGTAGTAAGTGTTTGTAAATACAGTGAAATATAGTAATTAACCGACAACTTTTATTATTTATATACCCAGCTCGTAACATTAACATAAAATTAAACTCCTCTTACACCGTCATCCCTTTTAAGAATAGACATGTTGAGGTGCCATTTATTTTCAATTATGATTTATGATTTATTTAACCATAATAATAATTATAACTAAAATGATTGACATTCACAACCCTCTCTTTGATACTAGAACGACCCCTATCTCAATTCCACTTAAGCTTAAGGCTTAAAACGAAGTTGGCAATATTTTAGTGTAAAGTGTTCTGAGTGAGAGTGAGTGAAAGAGAAAGAGAAAAGGCCTTAAGATTTTTCTACATTATTGAATAAGAGGCTCACCATCATCCAATAGGACGACGTGGTCAGGTCCGGGAGGCGCCGTCATAATGTTGAACTCCTCTTCCAAAGTAGGGAATGGTGCGTTCCATCTGTAATGCAGAAGAAGGTATTTTAATTTTACATGTTCAAAGCATTTTTTTTTACCAGGACCAGGAAATGATGGCATTACCATCAATTATTTCTTGACTCTGGTCAGAACCGGACTCTGGTCTGGTCAACAGTGCTTCCAGATACTGCTGTACCCTTAGATAATGATAAGCCTATTCTGATAGGTATGTAAGTTTTGTAATGAGGCAAACAAGCAATGGGGTCATCTGTTGTTACGTGACCATGGCCATGGACACTCAAGAGTCTTAGGCGCATCCTTTAAGTAACCCTTTCAGTGAAATAGAGGGGGACTGTTGTCCCCCCCCCCCCCTATTTCCGGCAGGGTCGCGCAAATGCTAATTCTAAAACTCTAATTCTGGAAGTAAATGAAAATACACAACAACAAATAATATCGACAACTAATTCGACGACAGCGCCATCTGTTCAGCGATAGGGAAACAAACAAACAAATATTGATTGGCACTGTCGCCTTAACACTATTTAAAGAAGTTCCAATAAAAGACTACTGTAAAACTTCATTCCTCTGGTAGCCAGTTTCTTCCATGACATGTCTATTAAACTAGGAGTTAATTTAAGATATACCTGGGTGCTGCCCTTGGTGGTGCTCTGGGAGCATACAAGCCAAGACCACCAGGTGGTGATACTCCCCCCGCCCCCGCCAACACAGCGCCACCTCCTCCCGCACCTCCCAGCCCCACGCCACTTAGAGAACTGGCGTAGCTGAATACCTGTAAATACAATAATACTTAAGGATTAGGGTTAATTCTTTGTGGACATTAAAGGTATAGTGACTTAAGAAATCTTTACAGTCTTTTTTATTGTTTTTTTTTTATTTATTTTTTATATTATCAGTATTTAACTTTTGCAATGTTATTATTGTTTGAATTGAAATAATGAATTTAACAGTAATTTAATTTAATTTATTTACTTCTAATTTGTGTAATAGTAATTTCTGATTCCAAATGTTATGTTTGACTCTTAATGCAGGCTGTGATCTTCTGTAATTAAGAATACACCAGATCAATAATCTATTATTCTCTGTGAATGCTATGTGATATTCTTGTTGAAGATCCTTAAATAAATAAATAAGACAACTCCCGCATTAGGACTATATCCTGTGTCGCGGGGGACTTTACAAACATGCATAAAACGAACATAAAGACCATCCAAACTCAGAACAACAATTTGTCGATCACAAAGTTTTGTCCTATACGGGATCGAACCCACAACACTCAGCGCAGTATGAAGCTGCGAGGTGACCGTTTAAACCACTACGCTATCCGTGCAGTCTTCTTTAACCTTCGCGGCAATAATAGGGGTACATTAAGTTTAAGGTGTGTATCTGATGTTCACCCACTTCAAAAACACAACAGAAGAGGTTCTCAAGTCATCTTTCTTCGTCTTCGATTTTCAAAATTATTTTTGTAATCGAAAGGGTATACTCCCGAGGTGGTCCTATTTCCAGAAACAGACTAAAAGGGACTATTGCTGCTATACGCTTGTTATTTAGATCTCTCAAAAGCTTTTGACCTTGTTAATTATGACAGGCTGTGGCAGAAGCTACAATGTGATACGAATCTACCACGTGAGATTGTATCTCTATTTAAATATTGGTACAGTCAGCAGAAAAATAGGGTAAGATGGTCGGATGTACGGTCGGACATGTACAGGTTGGAGTGTGGCGTGAGGCAAGGTGGTATATCCTCGCCTCGTCTCTTTAATCTGTATATGAATGGGCTGATCGGTGAGCTTAGTAGCACAAACATAGGTTGTTCTATTGACGGTGTGTGCATAAATAATATAAGCTACGCTGATGACATGGTGCTGCTGAGCCCATCGATTGGTGCACTACGTAGGTTGATAGGTATCTGTGAGACATATGCGGCGAGTCATGGTCTCAAGTATAATGCCAAAAAGAGCGAGTTTATGATCTTTAAAGCTGGTACTAAATGCTACTCAATTGTACCTCCAGTCACTCTTTGCGGAACTCCTTTAAAGAGAGTTTATAAGTTTAAGTACCTTGGGCATTGGGTCGCCGATGACTTATCAGATGACCTTGATATTGAGAGGGAGCGTAGAGCGCTGTCTGTCCGGTGTAATATGTTGGCTCACAGGTTCGCACGTTGTACCACACCAGTAAAAGTTACTCTTTTCAAAGCATATTGTCAGTCCTTCTACATGTGCAGCCTGTGGACTAACTTTACGCAGCGGGCGTACAGCACACTACGCGTCCAGTACAACAATGCTTTCAGGATGCTATTGAATCTGTCGAGGTTTTGCAGTGCATCAAACATGTTCGCGGAGGCACGTTGCGATGACTTTTATGCAATCATAAGGAAGCGGAGCGCGTCAATGTCCAATCGACTGCTAAGCAGCACCAATGGCATCCTGAGAGTATTGTCCGAGAGGTGGGATCTTCCAATCCTACAAAGGTGGATGCGTCTGCATGCTAGCGCATCCCAACGATTTATTTTTAAATTTGTTTTTGTGTTAATGTAGAACTAACATAGTTGTAAGATTACTGTTACTAACATATCTATGGACTAATGTCTGAAAATAAATAAATTTATAATGTTACCTGTTATATTGAGGGTACTTGTAATTGCTTTTTTACTTCCATTTGTCATTATTTTTAAATTTTTAGTGCTCTTTGTCAGTATTGTTTGAAGTCGGTTCAACTTTTTTAAAAGGACTTATGTGTGATTAAACTGTGTATATGTACGTTCGTCTGTACCATCGGCTTTTGCTTTTTTTTTAAGTGACGCAATCTGTTCTTAGCTAATAAGTTCGTGGCTGTACATTTTTGTAATTTTATTTCCAGGTCAAAAGGAAAGTAGTTCCAGTTCCAGGAAAAAAAATATAATAATAATAATATTGTACCACATTCACACAACGCCATCTAGTCCCAAACTAAGCAGAGCTTGTACTATGGGTACTAGACAACTGATATAAATACATATATAATTTTTTTTTGTAAATACATACTTATTATACATAGAAACACCCAGACCAAATCAAACATTAAATGTTCATGCACACAAATGTTTGAGTTGAGCGGGAATCGAACCCGCGACCTTTGGAATAGCAGTCCGTTACACAAACCACTACGCCATTCGGTCGTCAAATAAAAAATATATGTCACGAACGATTGATTACAGGTTCTAAGTAGATACTAAAAGATGATTAACAATGGAATATTTGAATTTGTTACCAAAAGAAGAGAGTGAAACGGTCCAAGTACATAGCAGTCGTGTAAATTTAAATATCGCAATTCAGAAGCGAGTAGTTGGCATTAGTCGTGCATATAGCTAATAGATGGCGCTAGGAGGTACCTGTTGCTGCGGATGGAAGTGGTTGAAGTGCGTGAGGGGCGGGGGGCAGTCGGTGCGGTAGTGCGGGCTGCGGCGGCGCGGCGACGCGGGCGGCGAGCGCACCTCCGGCGACGAGGGCGAGCCGCCGCCGCTCGCCGACACCGACCCGCCCACCAGCTCGCTCGCTAACACACCAAACAGATATGTATTTTTCATTCATAGCCATATCGTGTAACACGATCACCTATTTACTTTAAAACAAGATTTAAAATTAAGCAAAATAGAAATTGCACTGGGCCTGTTTATCTACGGTTACCCTCAATCTCCGGTCAAAAAAACTTCACCAATTTTTTTACCCCATTTGGCTAATTTACCTTCTTCTTTTGATCCGTCTGGAAGCCATTACCTTCCCCAGGAGCATTGGAGTCGGGCGGCCAGTCAAACAAAAAACCAGACAAACGCTTTCAAATGTTTTCATGTGCTGTAGTCACTTTCCATCAGATAGTCTTCTCGTTTGCCCCCTCTTCCATAAAAAAAACATATTGAATCGATCTCAAAAAAATGGAGAAGGCAAAAAAATATCTAGAATAATGAAATTGCTTTCAAAGAAAAAACTATCCGTTCTAATCAAATCGTATACAGCAGCTATTAAAACATAAAACATTATGACACTATCGATATAAAGACAATTGATTGTAAACCTAATCATTATTAGAATAAAAATCAAAGCTACCTGTAGACCTGATGATGGCCACGGGTCTGGCCATCGGTGGGAGCGGAGGAGGCGGTAACATCGAGCTGCTAAAGTACGGAGGCTTTGGACTTCGGGATAAACTGTGAACCTGGCAAACATATTATTATATTTTAGCTAATGTCTTCTAACTTGTCGTTCGCTAGAGAAAATAAAACATAACATCTTCATCTTACTAACACTGGCGAGGACTATTCTTTATGTGCAGTCGAGTGAACTTAACCATTTTAATACACTTTCTAAGTTCTAATTTAAACGGAGTGTCGCACTTAAAAGAAACTTAAACAAAACTTAATATGCTGGCGTGATTACAAGTCGAGCGATTATCGCGACAGCATCAAAACAACTTACACACTGAAGATTCCAACGATGTTTGCCTCAGAATGATGGTCTCAATACACTATTATAGTGTTCGTTACGACGTCTCAAGTCAAATCAAATCAAAGTTTATTTGCTATGAATCCTACATTCATAGAAAATAAACTGCAACAAAGCAAATACATTAAATTACAGAAGGAATAGTTTTCATTGATCATTGAAGTATGCAAAAATCTACAAAATTAGGGTCAATACAAATTAAATTAAATCTAGGATTGATAAGTACAAAGAACAAAAACGAACAATTAAAATTTTAGATGTCAATGGTCCGGTCTACAAACTAATCATCAATAAAGTGTATGTCAATGCTTCAGAATTACCAAATTACAAGTCATAAGAATTATAAATTGTTATTACGAATTTACCGTGTGGTGACGGATTAAGAATACAGAGTGTCACCACCCCTATTCATCCCGTGGGTGTCGTAAGATTCGACTAAGGGAGCGAAATACGCAGGACACCAGCTCTGCAGAGAGAAGGAAAACTTGACACAAACCCTATACCAACACGTCTGGCCAGCGTGGCATAGTAGGCCAAAACCTCCTTTCTAAGGAGAGGCCTATGTCCAGCAGTGGACTGTTAAAGGCTGTTGATGATTACGAATTTGTCTCTATTAATAAAATCATCGATTATGTAGTAGCATAACCTGTATATTTATGTTGACGAAAGATACTGAAAGTTTTGAGACGAGCCTTGTATAAAGAAGTAGGTTAAATATGATTATACTTATGTGTATTCAAACCAATTACATGCTTTTGAGGGAATTAAGGAACAATCTTCGATCGGTGTTTGTATAGGATTTTAAAAAGCATGTGTCTCTGATCTATATTATTTTGGTACTAAACTGAACATGTATTGAAAGTGGGTGGCGATTAGAAGCTAAGTTTTGAGGTATAGAGAAGTGGACTGTCAACAAATGTAATTAAAGTATGTAATCCATTAACATTATCATCAACACCCTTTGATAGTCCACTACTGGACACTGGCCAGTGCTTAGAAAGGAGGTTTTTGCCTACTATATCACGCTGGCCAGACGGGTTGTTATAAGGTTTGTATTTCCTTCTGTTTGTAGTGTTATTGTCCTGCGTAGTTAGGCGGCCTAAATAGGGATGGTGAGGGTCCGTATTCTTAATCCAACACATGCTTAAAGCCAGTAAATACCTGTAGCTGTTGGACGTCTGAAGGATCTTGGCAGACGAAGGTGACAAAGTCTCCGAGGGAGTCTTGGGGCGCGTTGTCGTACTTCCCGCTGTTGTGCTGACTAGTCAAGGCTTCTGATGCTGGAATTACAAGGAAATATTACTAATAGAGATTAGTGACCGATGGTAAGATTCAGAACAGGACTAAAATATATCTGCACGGACGGCGTAGTGGTTTAAGCGGTCACCACGCCGCTTCCTACTACGCCGAGTGTTGTGGGTTCAAACCCCACATGGGACGACACTTTGTGTGATAAACAAATTGTTATTCTGAGTCTGGGTGTTCTTTGTGTCCGTTTCATGTATGTTTGTAAAGTCCCCCGCGATACAGGATATGTTCCTAATGCGGTTGTCTTTTTAAGAAAAAATATATCTCAAAACTGAAATAAATTATAGTATTGTTGGCACCCGTGACTTTTTCTTAAATCAATTCAACTGTTAACTTGATAAAAGCCACGAAAATAACCTAACAAGAAACATTAATAATAATAATAATAAATAATATTCTACCACATTCACACAACGCCATCTAGTCCCAAACAAAACAGAGCTTGTACTATGGGTACTAGACAACTGATATAAATACATATATACTTTTTTTCTGTAAATACATACTTATTATACATAGAAACACCCAGACCAAATCAAACATTAAATGTTGATGCACACAAATGTTTGACTTGTTTTACATTATCACTCAAGATATCTGTAATAATGCAACGTCCAACCCAGTCTGATTATATTTTCGGTAACTTCTATATCTCACATGGGGACTTCGTTTGGATTGGATTTTAGAGATCCATTCGAACAATCAGAGGAAGAGAGGTTTGAGTTCCGGTAACTTTATTCACTCAGTGAAAAACATCAAAAGAATTGCTTAACACCGGTTTTCCCTAAGGGCGTAGTGTTACTCCGGTCGAGCCGACCCATTTCTGCCAAAGCAAGGTTTTTTATTTTAATTTAAAAGACAACTCCCGCACTGGGAAAATAATCCTGTGTCGCGAAGGTCTTTACACACATCTATGAAACGGATACAAAGAACACCCAGAATCAGAACAACAAATTTTGCGCAGTAGAAAGCGGCGAGGTGACCGCTTAAGCCACTACGCCATCCGTGCAATCAAGTGCTTCATCCATCAGTGCTTTTTCACCGTTAATCCGATTTTCAGATGTAATATTGATATAATTATTTTAATGCAAAAGGAAACTTCACATAGTTCTGTTTTCAGATTTGACATAATAATAGGTCTTTACCTATGAAATTGCCGTTTTGTATGCAATAAGTGAAAGTACTTATTTTTTCCAACTTTTTTATTTCTGTTATTCGAAGTAATCACCCATGCAATCGACGCATCTTTGCCAACGCATTGGCAGTTTATTGTTATTATATTAGAATCTAAAAAAGGTAAAATACTAAAATCTAGATACCGTCACACTCACTGGTGGGATGCGTGTCCGTGGGTGGTGGTGCGTGCTGGTAGAAGATGGTGTTCGATGGTACGAGGGGGCTCTGAGCTGAGCTTAAACCCGCCGAGCTGTGGGGAATACCTGCAAAAGAAAATAATTCAATTAAATGACTACATTAAGACAACATTAAGACAACAAATTAGGAATATATCCTGTGTCGCGAGGGACTTTACAAACATACATGAAACGGACGCCAATAACTTTTTTTTAAGTTATATTTCTAAAAAAAAACTTTATATATTATTACTAGCTGACCCGGCAAACGTTGTTTTGCCATATATTTTAATTCTAGGAAATTTTGAAAAAGTTTAGGGGTGGGTAACCCTTGTCATTTATTGATATGAAATAGATGTTGGCCGATCTACTCAGATCTACCCGATGTGCACACAAAATTTTATTAAAATCGGTCCAGCCGTTTCGGAGGAGTATGGTAACTAACATTGTGACACGAGAATCATATATATTAGATACATTACTAGCTGCGACCCGCGGTGTTACCCGCGTTTGGTGTTATAACCGCGGGCAACGCCGCGGGGCGAAGCTAGTCTAAAAAAAGTCCCGTCGAAATCGGTCCAGCCGTTCCAGAGATTACCCGGAACAAACAGACAGACAGACAGACAGACAAAAATTGAAAAAATGTTATTTTGGCATATGTACCGTGTAAACATACATATGCATTTAGTAAAAAGCGGTTATTTTAATATTACCAACAGACACTCCAATTTTATTTATTTGTAAGATAAGATAAGATGTACAGATTATATATATGTATATAAGAAATGATCTCTTATAAATTCACTTGAAGCTGCCGCAATATATTCTATTCTATTATTCAATTCTATCATTCGTCATTTCACTGCTTATTCTCTTAAAGAGAACAGCTAGAAATTTCTAGCTGTAACGTTTTATTTCAATTACCTTTGTGTGGTGACGGTTTAAGAATACAGTGTCACTACCCCTATTCATCCCGTGGGGGTCGTAAGAGCCGACTAAGGAAGCAAACTACGCAGGACAACAGCCTGGCCAGTCTGGCCAGCGTGGTATAGTAGGTCAAAACCTCCTTTCTAAGGAGAGGCCTATGTCCAGCAGTGAACTAATAAAGGCTGTTGATAACCTTTCCTACATAAAATTTTCTTCACCATATTTTGCTCATTACTCAACATTACATGCAATGGTAATCAACTACTCCTCGGCTATTCATCCATAGACAATCACCTTAAAACGTCTACAAACATTTCGCAACCTCAGTATTAAAGTGAAAATCTGGAAAATAAACAAATCTAATCTTTAAATATAAGAATACATAGTGGAATATCGTGATCAAGGAAATTCATGGACAGTCCCTTTGTTACTCATAATTTGAACTCTTTTTCTCACTATTACTCTTTTTCTCATAATTTGAACCCTACAGAGTTTTTAAAGTGAGAAGATCCTGGAATTTCGAATCAGGTCACGTTCATTCTTAAGTAATGAAGCTTCTGGTACTTATATTACAACAACAATTTGATCAAGAAAACCCTTTGTACCCACTGTGACTCAATTGAATTCAAAGAAATACTAATTTACAGACAACATAACTCGATAATAATCGAATCGCATTCGTTAGACACACTTGTTCGTATGCAACTCACGCACGTGCGCACACGCATCTAAATATGGTACATACATATGTACACCACATTGTGGGAGTGAAACAACGCGTGGCTTTTTGTATTTGTAATCTATTCTGAATGTCGTTAGAAATTCTATTTTTGAATAATTTATGTAGTATCAGACTAAAAGTTAGGTTTAAGTGTTTACAGAAGGCCAATTCTCGTAATAAAACTTCGGTCTCAATTCAGTTCAGAAAGGTATTTTCGTAGTAAAGGATTAAACATCCAACGTTGACTGTAATGTGATTATTTCGTATTGTAAATAAAAATTGAATCGCTAATGTGCTAATCTTAGTCATCAACAGCCTATAACAGTCTACTGCTGGACATAGGCCTCTCCTTAGAAAGGAGGTTTTGGCCTACTATACAACGCTGGCCAGACGGGTTGGTATAGGGTTGGGGTGCTGGGCTAGAAAACCTCCTCGTGGTGCACCCTGGAAACGCTGGCGATGGTACTGTTTCCTCCTTGTCCTCTTGGAGGAGAGGATTATCGCCAGCGGCCAATATTCTAGCAGAAGAGGCAGCCGTTCATCGGCTCTCGGGCAAGGCCTGGTCCAGCAGGGTGGGCGTGTCTGCCGGTTGCCCTGCTGGCTCTTCGCTCTTCGGAGCATGGAGGAGGAAACCTCGGTAAAAAACCTGATGGCGGGGCCCTGTAGGGGCCACAGTTTCTCCGCTGATAGCGGTGGAGAAAGGAGGACGGGCTCGGCGTGTACTCACACTACCACCGAGCAGGCAGGGGGACGTAGTCTCCCTGTCAACCGTTGGCATATCGCAATCCCGAGAAGAGCGCTGTGGTTAAGTCTCGCGGCTCTGATCGGGGGCGAGGGTCTTGGCTTAACCGCCCGGACCGCGAGGAAGATAACCTCTCTAAAAAATTCCCCGAATCCCGTGTTCTGGTGCGTGGCCAGGGGATGCATGGCTGATGGGAAGTTCAGTCGCGAGCGCACTCCAAGCCGAGGTACCTGCGGACCCCTCGGTTGGGTTAAAAACTTACGCTTGCCCGGGTAATGGGGGATCTCTGCCCGGGTGGACCTTTAGTTCTCCCCCACTCGTGGGATTTATTATGGATGATTTGAATTTAAACCAAACAAAACGATCGGAAACAATCAAACAACGGAACAAGGCAAGCAAAACGGACACTGCAACGAAAGGTGCAAGGGAGAAGAGGAACAGTGGAGTCGATGGTTCGTCCACTGAGGGTGAGGTGGCGTCAGGAACGCCCATCTCGATGGGGCTCCCAGAAGTCAGTCTGACTCTGATCTCTGGGAGCCGAAGAGCATCGGATCGGCTGCGTTCCGGATCCGCCGCTTCGTCGGATGGCGCGGACGCCATGGAAGCGGAGCGGAGCGACAGCCGGAAACGCGGACGCTCCAGGGAAGAGGGGACCGACACGTCCGGCGAAATGATGCCACCAAAGGTGGCAAGCAGCCGCCGAGGGAGGGCGCGTAAACCGGCCTCGGCCTCGGTCTCGACCCCGTCAGGCTCCGCGTTCTCAAACGCGGAGTCCTACAGGAGCGTGCGAGTGGACGGCGAGGCCGTAGCGGAGGAGGAGATCGCGGATCTCCTGCTCAAGGTTCGGGAGCCGGTGGGGGGAAATGCCCCCCAGGCTCCCGTGTCCGTGCAGGAGAGGGCGAAAGCGGCGGTGGCCGTCATCAACAAGGTGGCCACCAAATCCGTGAACCTTAAGGGCTCGTTTGTGAGGGCCCTTAAGGACTCCTCCTCCGCTTTGTCGGAGGTCGTGGAGGGCCTAGCGGGCGACGTCTCTCGCCTGCAGGTGGCCAACGAGAAGCTGACGGAGCGGGTGAACGAGCTGAGCGCTCAGTTCGCCCGCTTCCAGGCGAACCTCCCCGAGCGGGAAGCCCCGTCCGCGTCCCAGCCTGCCCCTACCACCAACTCAGGGGCATTTGACTCCCAACTGCGAGAAATCCTCATCGCAGTTGGGAATATGCTGGACGGACGCCTGGCTGGCCTGGAGGCGAGATTGCCTCCTGCGCCGAGTATGCGCCCCCCGCTCGCGTCGACACAGCGGCCTAAGGCCGCCGCTCCGACCGCGCTCCCCGTAGTGGGAGGCCGCGTCTCCTACGCGGCGGCGGCGTCTGCCCCGACTCCATCGGCTCCCCAAAAGCCGAGGAGGGGGGCCAAGGCACCGGCCCAGGCGCCGGCCAAGGCACCGGCTAAGGCGCCGGCCAAGGCACATCCCCAGGCGCCGGCCAAGACGGGGCCTAAAACGGCGCCGAGGAGCGGAGTGGCATTCCCTCCGCTCCCCACTCCGACACCCCTGCCGGGCCCCTCCGCACCTGCCCCCTCCAACGAGGGTTGGCAGGAGGCGAGGGGCTCCAAGAAGTCCCGAAGGCGGGCCAAAAAGGCTGCCAAAAAAGCAGCCCAAGCCCAGCCTTCGCCACCGGTGGCAACGGCCTCCACAAAGAGGCCGCGGAAGCTGCAGCCGCCCAAAACCGCGGCTGTAGTGGTGACCGTGTCCCCGGAGGCGGCGGACGGCGGGCTGTCCTATGCGGCCGTTTTCAAGAAGGCCCGGGACAGCCTCGCCAACGAGTTTGGGACGGTGGGGGTCAGGATGCGCCTCGCCCAGACGGGAGCTCGAGTTCTCGAGTTCCCTGGGGCTGAAGGCGCAAAGACGGCGGACTCCTTCGCTGAGAAGCTGCGGGGAATATTTGCAGCCACAGATGGTGTCAGGGTCGCCAGGCCTACCAAGTGCGCGGAACTGCGCATCTCGGGCCTGGACGACTCAGTGACGGCCGAAGATGTCCGCGCTGTAATCCGGGAGAAGACGGGGTGCAGCGCGGACAACGTCAGGGTCGGCACCATCCGCCCCGGTCCAGGAGGGCTTGGCGCCGTGTGGGTCAGCTGTCCCGTAGCGTCGGCCAAAGTATTGGCCGACGCCGGCAGGCTGCTCATCGGTTTCGTGAGCGCCAGGATTACAGTCCTGGCGGCGAGACCGATGAGGTGTTTTAAATGCCTGGCCACGGGACACACGCGCGTCAAGTGCGACAGTTGTTTTGACTGCGGCGGACTGTGTTTCCGCTGCGGTCAACCGGGGCATAAGGCGGCAGAATGCTCTGCCGCCCCTCACTGCCCAGCGTGTGCGGCGGGCAATAAGCCCGCCAATCACCAGATGGGGCAGAGAGGCTGCAAGCCTCCCCGCAGTTCTCGGCAGACGTCAGGGGCTAGCCAGTCGACCCAGGCTGCCTCCGACGTAGTACGTGCGTCGTCGTCGTCGCCCATGGAGGAGGTTGTAGAGACGATCCAGTAATGGATCAAGTCTCCAACCTCCTGGTCCAGACGAACCTGAACCACTGTGCCGCGGCGCAGGATCTCTTCCTGCAAACCATGGCACAGTGGTCGATAGGTGTTGCCGTAGTCGCGGAGCCCTATTCTGTCCCTCCCCGTCCAAACTGGATGGGTGACTGGGACGGCTCCGTGGCAGTCGTCGGTTCCACGACGGCTCATTCCCCGCCCTTGTCGCTAAGAGACAAGGGCACTGGATATGTTGCCGTCGAGTGGGGGGGGATCACCATATATGGTGTCTATTTCTCCCCCAACCGGAGTTTGAACGACTTCGAGGTTTTCCTAATCAGCTTGGAGACCTCGATACGGCGACTAGCGTCTGGGCACGTCCTTGTGCTGGGGGACTTCAACGCAAAGTCCATTGCGTGGGGTTCCCCCAGGACGGACGCCAGGGGCGAGGCCGTAGAGGAGTGGGCGGCCTCGGTGGGCCTCTGTCTTCTAAACAGAGGCTCCACCAACACGTGCGTGCGACAGCAGGGGGGGTCGATAGTGGACCTCTCGTTCGCTACCCCTGCCCTCGCCGCACGAGTAAGGAACTGGCGTGTCCTGGAAGAGGTTGAGACGCTCTCGGATCACCTGTATATCCGATTTGAGCTCTCCCGGACCCAGGACTCCAGTAGGGGTCACGTGGCGCGGCGTTTATCCCGCTTTCCGCGGTGGGCTGTTGCCAGGCTGAACCGGGACCTACTAGAGGAGGCAGCCATAATTCACTCGTGGCTGTCTCCTCAGGCTCCGACCGAGGAGGTCGACGTGGGGGCTGGCCGCTTTCGCGATGCGATTACGCATGTATGCGATGCGGCCATGCCCCGCGTTCGAGGTCGTCGGCCTCCAAGGAAGGAGGTCTACTGGTGGTCCCAGGAGCTGGCGGACCTCCGTGCGGCCTGTACACGTGCCCGGAGGTCCTACACACGCAGTCGGCGGCGTCACCGTGGAGACGGTGAGGAGGACCGGCTTCATGAGGAGTACCGGCGGGCGCGGAAAACTCTGAAGCTGGCCATTAGCCGCGCCAAAGAGGAAAAGAGACAGGAGATGCTGGAGGGTCTTAATCGTGACCCCTGGGGTCGCCCTTACCGCGCGGTGCGACAAAAGCTCCGCGCGTCGGCCCCCCCCCTTACGGAGACTCTCCAGCCCAGCTTCCTGCGAGAAGTGGTTGAGGGCCTTTTCCCACAACGAGCGGAACACACTCCCCCGTCGATGGCCTCCCTGGCCGGAGACGACGGGGAGCACGGGGAGGACAATGTTCCGCCCGTCCGGGATTCGGAGGTAGGGGCGGCTGTTCTACGGATCCGTTCCAAGAACACCGCCCCTGGGCCAGACGGGGTACCGGCCCGAGTGCTGGCCCTGGCCCTCAACCACATGGCAGACCGCCTCGGGGAGGTGTTCGACGCTAGCTTGGCGTCGGGACGCTTCCCTGAGTGCTGGAAAAGCGGGAAGCTGGTCCTATTGAGGAAGCCGGGACGGCCAGCCGATTCGGTCGCGGCCTATAGGCCCATCGTGCTGCTGGACGAGGCGGGCAAATTGTTTGAGAGGGTTCTTTCTGCCCGCATCGTCCGGCACCTCTGCGAGGTGGGCCCCGATCTGTCGGACGCCCAGTTTGGTTTTCGGGCGGGGCGTTCGACAGTCGACGCCGTGTTGCGCCTGAGGGCCGTGACCGAAGAGGCCGTGAGCTGTGGCGGCGTGCTGTTGGCGGTGTCACTGGACATCGCCAACGCATTCAATAGTCTGCCATTCAGCTGCATCAGGGAAGCACTCCACTATCATGGGGTGCCAAAGTACCTGAGGCGGCTAGTGGCAGACTATTTAGAGGAGCGTACCGTCGTGTACGAGGACCGAGAAGGTATTTTGAGGTGTCGGCCCATGTCGTGCGGTGTTCCACAGGGGTCTGTTCTTGGACCCCTCTTGTGGAACATAGGGTACGACTGGGCCCTTCGCGCCGATTTCCCCCCCGGGCTGGGTGTAATCTGTTACGCAGACGATACCCTGGTGACAGCCCGGGGGGCAAACTTCCAAGAGGCGGCGCGCCTGGCCACAGGGGGAGTCTCCCTGGTGGTCGGGCGCATTGAGGCGCTGGGCTTACGGGTGGCTCTAGATAAGACGGAGGCCCTGTTATTTCATGGGCCCCGTCGTGGTCCACCCCCTGGCGCCTCCATCGTGGTCAACTCGGTCCTCGTACCGGTTCGGGCCCAGATGAAATATCTGGGCCTGATCCTCGACGGGAGGTGGCTCTTCGACGAGCACTTCCGACAGCTTGCTCCAAAGCTGGTCGGCGCTGCGTCTGCCCTAGGGCGACTCTTGCCCAATATGGGTGGACCCAGCGTCGCGACAAGACGGCTGTACACGGGGGTTGTCCGGTCAATGGCACTGTACGGTGCACCGGTGTGGGCGGCGGCTCTGACCGCCCAGAATAGGGTACGCCTCTGGCGCCCTCAGAGGGTAATGGCGGTCAGAGCCATACGCGGTTACCGCACCGTTTCGACGGAGGTGGCGTGCGCGTTGGCCGGAACTCCCCCGTGGGATTTGGAGGCGGAAGTGCTCGCCGAAGTTTATCGGCGAGTGGCTGACTACCGGGCGGAGAGCGGATTTCGCCCTCCGCCCGAGGATGTGCGCGAGTGGCGCGAAGCCGCTCGCCGAGCCACGATGGCTCGTTGGTCGTTCCGGCTGGAGACTCCACGCGCTGGCTTCGCCGCCGTGGAGGCTCTCCAGCCGGTCATCGCCGAGTGGGCAGGGCGGCAGCACGGGACCCTTTCCTTCCGACTGACGCAGGTGCTTTCCGGGCACGGTTGCTTCGGAAAGTACCTGCACACGGTCGCTAGGAGGGAACTGAGTCCCGCCTGCCACCACTGCGACTGCAGTGAGGACTCGGCCCAGCACACGCTGGCGGTATGCCCCGCATGGGCGGCGCAGCGCCGGGCCCTCACTGCAGTCATCGGAGTGGATCTCTCGCTACCGGCCGTAGTACGCTCCATGGCCGGTAGCGACAGTTGTTTTACCGCGGTCGCAACCTTCTGCGAGGTAGTAATCTCGCGGAAGGAGGCGGCGGAGAGGGCCCGGGAGGACGACCTCCACTCGGACCCGATCCGCCGCCGGCGAACCGGGCGGCGGAGGCCCGCCTACCACAGCCTTATGCCGCCCTGAGTGTGGCCGCGGGTGGACGGGGTGGGTTTCCCCTCCACCCGCATTAGTTGGCCAGCCGCGAGGGGGCGGCGTCCGCGTGTGCCGGACGTCGCCTAAAGAGAGGAACATCTACATCGAGACGGAGCCCGCACCAGGAGCGGGCTGGCGCTAGGAGGGGTCCGGATGTCTTAACAACAGCTGTTCCCGGATCCCTCCTGTTACAGGCGCAGAGTGGCACACCGTGTGGTTTTAGTCGGTCCGAGTCCGACACACCACCCCGCCGCAAACCCCGGAGGGGTGACGGTCCGAGGGGATTTCCACACGTTAAAAAAAAAAAAAAAAAAAAAAAAGGGTTAGTGTCAAGTTTTCCTTCCTAGTCTTAGTAATACTTTAATATTTCAATACGAAAATACCTTTTATGACAGTTGATCGGAACTGAATTGTGACCGAAGTTTTATTACGAGAATTGGCCTTCAGGTGTTGACATTATAGAGGTTTGAGAGGAAGTTGGGGATTTCTTGCCAAGTGTGTAGTTCCTGCTGTTCTTAACTCGCAATGCAAAGAGGAAGTGTGAAAATATGGCATTGCAGCTCCTCAATGAGTGAACCTATTCTGATGCAGGTTTGTTTTACTTTATGGGCCGATAGAATAGTAGCTAATATTCAAAATATATCTATTCAGTCGTTCAGATATCATCAGCTCTTTTCATACGCTAACGTCGAGGAGGGGGGAAGGCATTATGTGTTGGTGCCTATTTCTTCCCCTAGTTTTACTTTGTAATTATTTCAATGTTTTATCTTTTTTTTTTTCCTAATACAAATATAATAATATGGAATTTATCCTGTGTTGCGGGGGACTTTACAAACATACATGACACATGAAAAAAAAAACATCCAGACTCAGAACAACAATGTGTGGATCACGTAGTCCCATGTGGGGATCGGACCCACCACACTCAGCGTAGTAGTAAGCGGCGTGGCGACCACTTAAACTACTACGTCATCCGTGCAGTCATGTTTTATCTTTAATTGGACGTTCAATTTTTCGCTGCCGTCATACTCAGTGCTTTCACAAGTAACTGGTAATTCTGGTCCTCAGCAAAGATTTCCAATTTGTAGATTAATGTAACATTCAACATTCATATACTCACTGTAACACTGTCCAACAAGCATGGCAGATGGTGTAGCCCTTTCAGGAGGAGGCTCGAAGGCTGGTGGCGCTGGACTGTTGTACCCGCAGTAGTATCCTGACTCCAGCTTAATACCACCTCCTGAACCGCTCGGCGACTCCGACCCAGTCTCTTGGAGAATAGAAGCTGGAATAAAGGGAAATTGATGTAAGTAGTTTCAGTCAGAAAACTGTGTGCGGTTACGGGCCTGTCGATCCAGGGGTTGGTGACCCTGACTGTGAAACCGGAGGTTGTGGGTTTGATTCCCATTCAGGACAAATAATGACGTAATCAGCCCAATCTTTTCTTCTGTCCGGGTGTAAATTATCCATAATATGTGTGTATTTAGAAGTTTCTAACTCTGTTTATCAACAGTCTGGTCATCAGGTCAGATCAGGTCTGGTATCAGGTGCCAGGTAATTTGATCAAATTGATCTGGTAGATAATTTTATGTATTAGACGGCTAATAGAATGTACCACTGTCATGGAGTCCATAATGGTTTGTAGGCCATGAGGTGAAGTGCGTACTGGTAATCGTATATTTTCTAATATTTCACTTAATAAACACGTGGAATGTTTTGAGATAGCTCTCAATTTATCGTTTATGAGATAGTAAGAAACTTACATCAGCGCTGTATAGGTACAAAGTAATCGCAAAAAGAATGCGATATGAAAATAACCTGTATGAACTCCAGGGCATTTAGGTTTTAATATTGTATTACTAGCGATCCGTTGCGGCTTCGCACGGGTGCAATGTAAATACCACTAATACTACTAATGTGGTGTCAGTGTGGAGTTATTAATTATACTATAATTATGATAGGACTATACGACTGGACATCTTTAAATGCTATATTTATAGGCCCGTTCCGATCCTGCCGGCCACTGCCACCCGGGACGGATGTACGGCTCGACGGACCTGCATTTTTAACTTCTAAGATTTTTTTAGATATTACTATACGTAATAAGTTTTAATGAAAACATTAAATACACAACGTATTTAACGTATTTAATTGGATAAGAAATAATAATGTATTGTTTAAAATAGCGTCGTAAATAACCCATTATTTTTTCGTAACATTTAAAGGTTACTGTGTGTTATCCTTAGGAGATAACCATATACCAGCTTACCAGTTTAGCCAGCGTTTGCAATGTAAGCGCACAAAAACCTGTTTTTTACAACAATACTTGGAAATTCTCGAATATTCTTTACTATAATATACATGTATTATACATATAAATCTTCCTTTTGAATCGCTCTCTCTATTGGTAAAAATGCATCAATTGCTTAGATGATTTTTGACACAAAAAACAACTTTACTTTATACTATATAAAGATGCGAAACTGTAAAATTATGTAAAACTGTCCACGACAATACCTAACCCTTGTTTATAAAGCGAGGAAGTAAGAAAGTCGTAAATACCAGTCTTTTTTGTCACAATATTTGCAACCTTAAAGAGTGTATATTTTGTGCAAGTAGAAGTCGACGTACCTACATCATTTGGTGTTAGAATGGCCACAATGGAATGCAGGATGGAAAAGCAGATGTAGAATTTATAATGCATATATTTTGGCTTCATTATTCTTAACTATTTATGGAATTAGTTCAGTATTAGAATACTGAAGTAATTCCATCTATTGACCTTATTTAAAGATTTTCTTTGCGTCCAGTAACAGGGGTTGTTAATTATTAAAACCGGAGAAGCAGTTAGCAAGTCTCGCACATAAATACAAACACAAACCCACACTTTCTACATTACTATAATTATAATTCTACAAAAGAAAGTATTGAAAACTGTGTGATAATGCCTTGAGTGATTTTGACAGTCATTTGATTTTAATATTTGTTATAATGTCGTTGATATTATCGTTCGGATTTTCGACATGCTTTTATTAGTTTTTATAGTTAACTAAGAATGTAAATAAATTATAGAATTCAAATTTAACTTAATTCTAATAATGATAATCTCACACATCTCACACGGCCCTCTGATCCCAAACTAGGTAGAGCCTGTATTATTGTAACCAGACTTCTGATAAACATACTTATATATTTTTAAATAAACACATATTATAGATAAATTACACCCAGACACAGAAAAAATTACCGTGCTCATTACACAATATTTGTTCTGGGTGGGAATCAAACCCACGCCCTCCGGTTTAGCAGTCAGGGTCACCAACCACTAGACCAACAGGTCCGTCGATGCCATTAAGTATCGCACTCCACCAAACGACTGACCGCAACCGATGAAAGCAGGTGGTTGATAGGATAAAAGGGAGTCACGATCCTCAGAAGTGAGGGAACGATTAGGAAGAGAAAATACCCGTTCATAGTTATGCTACTATTGTTTGTGAATAGTGCACTACACCAGTTTAATTTTTGTGACAAATAAACTTAATTTTATTTATGACTCGATTTTATTAAAGTCATCATCATCAACAGCCTTTAATGGTCCACTGCTGGACATAGGCCTCTCCTTAGAAAAGAGGTTTTATTAAATGGTTCAATTCTAAGTGTCATACCTAAATTAACTTTGTATAATCGTCACGTCCACCACGAAGCCGGTCGGTCAGTCAAGAGTACTTTTGACCGCAAAATCATACTTTTATATCCTCATCTAACCCAAATGATTCACCCACCAACAATGGAGGGGATCTGGAGGCCCGCACGCTTCACGCTTTAATAGTCATTGTTCTAACCTTTTTTTTTTTTTTTAACCTGTGGAAATCCCCTCGGACCCTCACCCCACCGGGGTTTGCGGCGGGGTGGTGTGTCGGACTCGGACCGACTAAAACCACACGGTGTGCCACTCTGCGCCTGTAATAGGAGGGATCCGGGAACAGCTGTTGTTAAGACATCCGGACCCCTCCTAGCGCCTGCCCGCTCCTGGTGCGGGCCCCGTCTCAAAATTTTAACCTCTCTTTAGGCGACGTCCGGCACACGGGGACGCCGCCCCCTCGCGGCTGGCCAAACTAACTTAACCCAAACATAACCGTATGCTTGTCTGTCATTAGTCTGCAGATTACCTAGGAAGTGTGCAGATTATCTAGTTAATGTAAAAAACTGAAGCAATTTTTTACACTTTCACGGACTCAACCGGATAATCTGCTGATTAATAAGAAAATTTGTACTCTAACTGTTTTACCCACGGTAACATAAAGCTTGGATATCAGTGCTTAATTTGGCATCTTAAAACTGACCTAATGAATGAACCAAGAAGAATTCGTTTCTGGTTTGTGTTGACAAAATTGGACTTGGTAAACATGGTCAGAGTCGGTGGGACAACAGCACTGTAAAGAAAAGGAAAACTTGCAATAAACCCCATACCACCCCGTCTGGCTAGCGTGGTATAGTCGACCAAAATATCCTTTCTAAGGACAGGCCTGTACCCAGCAGTGGACTATTAGAAGCTATTGATAATGATGATGATGAAATATGGTCTGATGATAAAGCTGAAGATAATGTCTTATGACGCTTACTCCTTATGATTTTAAAATTCAGTTTGCTTTTAAAATTGATGATGTGTATAGTGTTTATTTTGCGCTCCATTTTCGTGCGCAGGCTTTGTGACAAATGGAATCATTCTACTACAATCTGAACTGATTTCTTCACTTATCCTATTTGCATAAATACCATCAGGTGAACCATCTGCTTGTTTGCCCCCTGTACCGAAAAGAAATCTAGAGAAAAAATCCTTGAATGAGCTTTAACCTTGTAACAACTGGATTTAACTAATCTTATCTATCTGATTATGTTAGGTGATCAGAACCTTGGACAATAAAACGGATGGCAAGCTATGTGTGTCGATATCGACAATTGTAACAACGACATATTATTTCAACTTCTTAAAAAGGAGCTTAAGGCAATACACTAAGTTTAAAGTTATCCGTATCGTCAAAGTTTAAAAGAACTTTCAAACGTATCTGAACAGTCAAATTTAATCGAACTGTCAAAGTCACTCAAATTAAATTTATTTATTAAACAAAAAAACAAATGTACACACCTTTAGACAACTTCCAGAGCTCCTTGGACGAGAAGACACCGGTCGCTAAAATAATATCGTTGCATATTACACCGTTGTATGGATTGTGACTATAGCCTGAAATCACCCATTTCAGACATTATGATCTCATGGTAGTGGTAGGAAAGACATAGCAGACATATCCACCGATACAGGGTGTTCAGACAATAATTTACACCATCGATCAAATTAGACTTCATAATAATTAGAAATTACTCTTTTGACATTTAAGGTTTCTGGTAAAGTAAACCTTAGTAGCTCAAATTTAGCAATCATTTTACCGAATTAACTATCTTCGTTTTCTTCATTATTAGTGGTAAAAACCTATGCAACAACGTCTTTTCTACCAATATTAGAATGACAATTATGATATTTAAATGCATACATTGCACACGTGTGATTCTTTGTAAAGATAGAAGTATATTTAATTGAAAATCTTAGCAAAAAAACTCTGTTAGACCATTGGTTACTGATGACGTAACTGTTGTATATGTAGCTTTAGACACATCCTACTCACTGACTTTAATAACAATGGTTCTAATTCTGTTGGTCGAAAACTCTCTAAACTAAACTAAAAATCACTCAAAATTAGTTTAGTCCAGTCAACTACTATGTTTTCAGAAAAAAAAATCGTTTTTTTTTAAAGAAGACAACTCCCGCATTAGGAATATATCCTGTGTCGCGGGGGACTTTACAAACATACATGAAGCGGACACAAAAACACCCTGACTCAGAACAACAATTTGTGGATCACACAAAATGTCGTCCCATGTGGGGTTTGAACCCACAACACTCAGCGTAGTAGTAAGCCACTACGCCATGCAGTCATATGTGATCTTAATCTCCAGATATTATAAAATGGTCTAAATCTATGCTTAATTCAATTTGTTTGTCTTTAATGTGCAATATATCTTATGAAATATAAAACTAAATCAATACCTGCTCAAACCTTGTATTGATATATTACATAACTAATATTAAAAAATGAAATAAATGACATTCACAATTTAGTTTCATCAGAACCTGTTACTTCTTATATTTTTATTTCACCTTTAGATGAACAAGAAGATGATGAGAAAGACAATTCATCATCAGTTTTAATTTATTTAAAAGCTCTGATGAAACTAACTTTGAACAATTACGATCTAGAAATTGCTTATGACATCGTTTCTGTACCATATTGACAGATTTTGTTGATATTAAATAAAGCCACGACATCAAACAATACAATATTGAAAACATCCAATCATGTACAGCAATCATAATAAATTAATATTCTGAAGCCATTTCAAGGAATCTCGAAACTTTGCTTAGAGCTCAAAACTGTAGTGAACTCAAAATTGTGTAATTATTTATTTCAATAGTTATTAATGCATCTGTACAAGCAATAAGTAGGGATTTTTATTTTTTTTTTTTTCGCACCAACAGAAGTACAATTGATTTTTACACTCTTTGTTAAAAAAAAAATAGAAATTTACTCAGTGTGTGAGTTTAACTTCAGAAAATTAATTAATTTATTATAATACTGCAATACTGTACATTCTCCCACAACATATAAAACGTCTAAAAAGGGAAACCCTATTTCAGACTTTCTTTCTAATATGAATAATAATAATATAATAATAATTCTGAAAAGTACTCTGCCAATGTTTCTCTAAAAATTACCCTGATATCGAAATAAAATTGAAGAACATCATTTAGAGAAGTTTTAGAGAAATATCGGCATACAAATATAAAAAGAGTGAAAGAGAAGGAACACCGACTACATACATGTAACGTCCATAAACAACAAAGGACAACGGCAAACATTACTTTGGCAATCCCAAAAATGTGATTTCAATAAATTTTGATACCAATGGAAGCATAAAAAGTGTGAGTGCAAGCCAATGCCGAGATTAAATTAATTTTGAAAATGCATAAAATATGACAACAAAATAAAAGAAATTTTAAGTCAAATACGTTTTTGTGCAAACCAATCACATTTAGATTCTTTCTGCAGCTTTTTGACTATGGCCAACAATATCGAAAGGCTTTTAAAAATCCAAATGATTATGATTTCGTCTGGTGTACTGTTAACATAATTTCACTTTTAATTTTATAGTGAAGACGTTTATAAGACCCCAATAACTGTTAGACAATTCAGAATTTAGCAATATAAATCAAATCACAAACATTAAAATCTTTTAGTGCTTTTTTGGTCGGTCTGTTCTGCCCAATAAACGTTTTTTACTCTCCATCATGCTTTTTTTAATAAGTAAATAAAATAGTCAAAAATCAGTTTGTTCTATATTGTTTTAGAAGCACTTTTATGGTATTGCTGGCCACAGTCTTGCAGAAAGAATACACAACACACGATTCACAATCTTGAGTTACCTTTGCTCTTAGCCTCGTGTTCGTTCTCTTTGTCTCTAGGAGTGTGAGGTGAGAGAGAACCGCTAAGTATATCTGAAATCACATCACACACTTGAAGACAGAAATAAAGATGACTGGACATCCAATATGTACCAAAAACACCAAATTTTAATTCTCCTACTATTGAAACAAAAATAGATGCGAAATCGATAAAAAATCGTGATTCAGTTTGATAGGTGACAGTAAAAAAAAGAAAAAAGTATGTTTCTTTGAAATACGATGTACATAGTATCAATTTATAACTAACATAAGTTGAAGGCAAAGGTCAAAACCTCCTTTCTAAGGAGAGGCTTATGTCCAGCAGTGGACTATTAAAGGCTGTTGATGATGATTAGTTGAAGAAATAAAATATGCTAATACCAATTCCATATTGTTTAGGATGAATTAAATCTTGGATGTTGAAGACGTACGTTGCGGTATTATTGATGAAGAATTTTAAAACAAAAATAATGTATTTCATGCACAAATGGTTTGTTTCTACATACTGCAAGTAAAGAAACGTTTAAGTCTTGATACACTTGAATGTCTGCTTCATAAAGACCGTAATTATTACTATGGTTACTTAAGAACGCATTAGCAGGGATTATAACTTTTCTCATGTTTCAATTAAAAGTCTACCATTAAAATTTACTTGCGTGTGATAATATTAAATTAAAGTGGGTAAATAACCTTTTTTCCTATCTTTAACCACAAAAGCAGTATTGCCATGAAAAATAAAAAGATAGGTTTCTATCTATACTGGTTATGCTATGTTCTTTATATACCTATTTTAACTGTTTCGATTTAAACTGTATCAAGACTCATGAATAAAAAAGGAAAATGAAGCAAGTTACACATAGAAGTGAGCGAGAGACCTGGTAGACCGTCGCTCCCATTACCATAGCTGTTAATAAAGTTCGCAAGGTACAGGTCCAGCTCCCGAACAGACACGTTGATGTGGTACGGGTTCACGCAGAGGCCTGGCTGCGTGCATTCTGGGTGCTTCTCCAGCCGCTCCCCATCTGTACTCTCCAAGGGGATAGCCTTGAATAAAATTACCATTACCAGGTCTAAGCGCCATACCTGGAAAATAGAAATAACCCATTTTACAAGAATGGAAAATTAAAAACAATCCAACACCAACTTCGTGGGAAAACAACATCAGTTTTAAGAAATGTCAAATAGAACGAATAAGAGAGGCAAAAGGAAACAAAAATGTAAACTATTATATGGATAAATTAAGATATGCCGTAAACCTGATAAACCAATAAATTTAAAATGGTTTCAATTTAAATTGATTTGACACCGTAAATGTAGGAAGGAAAAAGGTATTGGATGGGATTTACACATACTAGGAGATTAACTTAAAATTCAGATTTTGCACACTATAATTTGCCAACCAGGCACTTTAGGAATTAAAGGTGGGAAACCGGGAGAAATGTTTAAAGGAAAAGGTAATAAGAGAAGAGAAAGTAACGGAAGGAAAGAAAAATTACTTTTAGGGATGGATTGCGTGTGTGAGTAATAATAATATTAATAATATTTTCACACACAGCCGTCTGATCCCAAACTAGGCAGAGCCTGTACTATGGGAACTACACTGCTGATAAACAAATCACACAATTATTTATCCTAGGTGGGAATCGAACCCACGACCCCTGTCGTAGCAGGGTTACTAACCACTAAACCATTCAGTAGAATGTATACCTTACGTAGATCAGGATTGCATAGCTGTACGTAAATCTAATGCGGTTTATATATGTCCAGATACTAGTTCTAAAACGGAGTTTCCTTTATATTCATGCGCATGAGGAAATATAAATCTTCAATTTATTTTATCATTGAACTACCTCAAGTATTAATACCTCTCGAATTGATTTTCAAAATTCCGTACAAAGCATAAATATGCATTAACTTTTTGATAGTAAAATACTGTTTAGAATTCTGAAACAACGAAATTTATCCTGTTAACCTACCATGAACAGAGGTTCATGGTACGAGTAGGTTAACAGGACACATTTCGTTAGTACAGTATATAGTAATATACCTGTTGAATTTAGAATATATCATAACACGCATATAAATTAATTACTAATTTTATAAATACTGTTATAGATCCTTTGGATAAGACAGAAGAGATGTTCATACTAACTTTATCGGCCTGCCTGAGACAATCTATCCTCCTCATCTTGCCCTTCTGGTCTGGATTGGAGAGTACACAAACAGCCGGTCTCTTCCCCGTGATGCTCAGCACAAAGTCTTCCCGGCAGTCTTGTGTTATGTCCTTCCGCAGCTTGCCCAGCAGCCGCGATGCCCATTTTTGTTTCACTTCTGCTTTTTCGTTCTGGAACATTTTTAAATTCGGTTTTAGCTGTAGGATTGTAAATTCTGTGAATGCATTCTCAAGTATAAAAGAGAAGGCCGTAAAAAAATACCAGATTGATAAATTTCTAATTTACGGAATATTCAAACTAGTTTTTTTTTTTGTGTAACAGATATTTTCCTGCATTCACAATATTATTTTATATTAGTATATAATCGAAGAAATTACTAGAATAATTACTGAGAATTTAAATCAAATCAAGAAACTTTATTCGTAATCTTTGCCACTGGTCATTATTACATTAGAATTGCATTTTTATGGAATAGAGGTCAAAGAGCAGGTAATGCAACTCAGGAGCCACAAATACGTAGCGGCCTTTGAGAGGGTACGCTCTATTCTTAAAGGTTTGCAGGTTGTAACATCACATCAACAGCCTTTAACAGTCCACTGTTTGACTTATGCCTCTCCTTAGAAAGGAAGGTTTGGCCTATTATGTCACGCTGGCCAGATGGATTGGTAAAGGGTTTATGGGAAGTTTTCCTTCTCTTTACAGTGCTGTTGTTCTGCATAGTTTCCTCCCGCAGTCGGCTCTCACGACACCACACGGATTGCACGTTGTATCGGTCGAAAAATACCGCAGGTGACAATTTATTCCAAAGCTTCTGTATGCAAGACTAATAGTTTCTTGAAAAGCGTACAGTAGTGGAGTACCAATTATTATACGAGTAACGAAGATATGTTTTGCGATATGGAACGATGGCGGAAAGCTGCGCTGGTAGAACTCCAAAACTTCCTCGGACCTCTCCCGATAGTATAAGTAATAGAAAAAGTATAGAGAAGTAAAATCTTTGAAATCTTATGACAATCGAAGTTTCAACTCACTCTACATTGAATGCGGTCTATTAATGAATCTTGACATCACTGTGAAATTGTACTTAGATACCCGTTATTACCCTTACTCAGAGTCGTAACCTTGCCCCTTAGAATAATTTACACGCTTTATATTAGCTTCACTTGTATGTTTGTTTGTATGTTTGTAACCGGCTCCTTTGGGCGTGATTTTGACTGACTTTAAACGGTCAGAATTCGTTCAAACTTTGTAGATATATCGAGGACCGATGACAATACACTAATTTAAAAAAAAAAAAAATAGTTAAAAAAAACACTCTTTCTATAGACAACCAAACTAAAAATAGAAAATAAATTTGAAGAAAAGCGTTGGGTGCCTGTTGTCAATAGTAAAAAGAACCCCACGCTTTTTTTCAAATTTATTTTCTATTTTTTAGTTTGGTTTTCTATAGAAAGCGTGTTTTTTTTGTTTTTTAAAACTATATTTTTTTTATAAAAAGATAAAAGTATTAGTAAACCAATGTACTTACGACACATATGTAATTAGGAAAGAACGTTGAATATTACTACAAACCAAAAGCTCAATCACCTTACGACAGCCACGAACAATTAATAGTCCACTATTCACTGTATACCTACGCGATATATGTTATTATTTACAGATATAGACAGAGATAGTGGTAGGCTTGAACAATATGCTTGCAATATGCAAATAGATTAATATCAAAAAGTTTACGGTAGAATATAAACCAAAGACACGTACAAATAGTTTCTCCGATCCACTGAAATTATTTCTCTGTTTCGTTGTGCACTTTTTAGGAGCAGCAGCCCAAGCAGTTTATCATAAATAAAATAACCTTAATTAACATTTTAATTTCCTAATATCATATTTATACTTTAAATGAGAACAAGTAACAAGTAACTCAGAACAATAGTGCGTCGCATCTAGCGATCGAACCCACAACACTCGGTAGGAAGCCGATAGGTGTCCGCTTAAACCACTACGCCAACCGTGCAGTCTTATCCTATGTTAGATAAGTAACAATTTTTATAATTACCTGTAATTCATATTTAGTATGGCGTTCCTCCTCGAGACTCATCCGTTTTTCGTGTTTCTTGTAATATTTCCGTTTGGCCGCTTGTAAATTGAACCAAGTATACGAAAAGGACTTTACAAATGGCATCAGGGCCTCTATGAACGGATGGAACTCGTCCTGTGAACAAGGTAAAGTTTAAAAACAGGTATTAACTTTGAATATAACTTTCTTTAGTGGCGCCCAACAAGGGACTTTTTTCTGTGACGTTTCAATGTTTAAATGTCAAAATGAGTATCTATTCTTATGTTTTATTGTAGTTGTTTTTATGAAATGAGAGCTAATCAAGGACCTAACACATTTAAAGCATCTGTGAACGTTAAAATTTTCATGGCTATATAAACCAGACAAGCCGTTTCCTTCCCACAGTAATACTTACTGCGTATCTTTATGAAAAGAGATATACCTAAATCCAAAGACTTCGGTTCTTACCTGCATATTATACCCTTTAATAGTACATATAAAGTACAACACATTATATTCATGAAGCTTATCACAAACAAAACATATATTAGTGTCGTTCTTAGCATCTACATAACATAAAATATTTACACACAAGCATGGTTAGGAAAATATTTTAGCTGGTTATTATAAATGTACAACCTCTGTAGTAAAACTCCAAACAAATATATAATGATGAATCCAAGATTACTCTCAAGACAGAGAAAGCGGAAAAAGTCAATAACTTTAATTTTCTAGACAGTTAGATAAGTGAAAATGGTGACCGCAAACGAGTATTTCATAACTTAGAACACCAGTTTCTTTGACAACGTAATTAGGAGGTAAGTTTATTCGTTTATATTGCTCCATATAGAACTGAATATCCTCAAATCCGAGTGGGAAATTGTGCGGTGTATTGACCAAATTTACCACTTTTCGTTATTTTTCGTACTATATAGCTGCACAATTCAAGCCGTGGGAGCGGGGGACTTTAACACCCAGACTCAGAACAAAAATTTGTGAATCACACAAAGTGTCGTCCCATGTGGGGTTTCAACCCACAACACTCGGCGCAATAGGAAGCGGCGTGGCGACCGCTTAAACCACTACGCCATCCGTGCAGTCAAGTTAGGTATGTGTAGTTCATTTTCACATTCTTTTTCAAGGAAGTTTTATAAATACCTATATCATCATCAACAGCTTTTAATGGTCATAGGCCTCTCCTTAGCAAGGAGGTTTTGGCCTACTATACCACGCTGGCCAGACGGGTTGGTATAGGGTTTGTGTCAAGTTTTCCTTCTTTTTGAGGTGCTGGTGTTCTGCGTTGTTTTGCGCCCTTAGTCGGCTCTTACGACACCCACGGGATGAATTGGGGTAGTGACATTCCGTATTCTTAATCCGTCACTACACGGACTATATAAATATATAAATATCTATATAATGAAACTTCTACGCTTTAAGGAAAATAGTAAAAAAACTATCATATATTTTGCAAACATATCGTCGAAAAATTTATAAAACTTACGTAGACTAAACTAAGATATTCTTCAAAATTATCAACAAGATAATTATACTTCTTATAAATTACACCCGTGCTATGCTAGGGCGTGTTGTTGGTACTCAATAATTCGATGCTTATTAAATCAAATAAATATAAAAACAAATAATATCAAAAACACTTTCTACCACACATTCGTATGGTTGTCATAACACATATTTAACGAGGATCACATTTTAATCTTCCACCTTATTATTCCGTACCGGTACACCTAATTGTGTCAAACACAAAAGAAAGAAAAAAAATTACGATACGTGCTTCAGTAGTTCGAATAACGTATGCTTTGCGCACGCGCAGATATACCAACTGTATTGTAATGTAGCTGAATCATATCGTTATGTATGCAAATATGCCATGATTTATCGGCAACCCGTTTCGGGCATCGGATCGGAATTTGTTATCGATTGATTTTTTAGCATGCGGTCATGAAGATGCAGAATTTTTATGATACCCTCATTAAATGGCACAATAAACAGGGAAGGAAGATTTTACTGTTGAAGTATTTCTATGGCATACACGTCCACAATTTATTCTTGTTAACAGAGATCGTAACATCTTAATGTAAGGTTATTTAACTTAAAGGCCTATTCTACATATAAATGAAAGAGATAAAAAGAGAATTACCTTTAGGCATTTGACAGAATCACACGGTAAAAGTAAAATTAAGTGCCAATTGAGATTGATCTAGATGGGGACGGGGCAAGAGCTTTATAGAAATATTGGGCTTATTTGACATTAAGAAAATATAAGTGTGTGGTTTCGTAGTTTGCCGATTTCTAAATCAGCAATCAACTGCATCTATATCAGTTATTTCGAAAAAAATATATATTTATGAAATAAATTTTCCAATTAAGTACGTATAAACATGAACCTTTCTAGGGTATACCTGGTTCCCCGGCTATTAGTACCCGAGACTGCGTGCGGTTTTAGTCGGTTCGAGTCCGACATGCCAGCGACAGGTGGTATCCGAGGGGATTTCCGCACGGAAAAAAAAAAAAAAAAAAATTGTGATGATGATCATTCAAAATTCTTCTGCACTTCTATATATAAACATTTCCCACTTCTATACATAAAGCGTCGAGTTTAAAGGGCAAGTCATCAGCTGTAGGTATAACGATCTTGACTGTGAAGCTACAACTCATGGGTTCAATTCTCATTCAAGATTAAAATTGTGTGATGAACACACGATCATTTGTGTCCGGGTGTAGTTTATATGGATACAATATACTATATATGTATTTAGAAAAGTGTAAATATGCTTACCACCAGTCTAATTACCAAAGCATAGGCACGGTCTGTTACTAGACGATCGGGTGTAAGATTTGTCAAGCTATTATTATTATTGACGGGCCTGTTGGTCTAGTGGTTAGTGACCCTAAGTGCTAAGCCAGAGGTCGTGGGCTCGATTCCCAACCAGGACAAATAATTGTGTGTTGCACACGATCATTTGTTCTGTGACTGGGTGTACTTTATCTATAATAAGTATGTATTTAGAAATATATAAGTATGTTTATCAGCAGACTGGTAACAATAGCACAGGCTCTGCCTAGTTTAGGATCTTATGGTCGTATGTGAGATGTGTGAGGTATATTATTATCATGGTTAGTGTAGTGCAGATGAAAAAAAATATTTTGACTGAATTGACAGATTTCAATAAAAATTATTACTTCCAATCGACACGGTATATCTAAGGCTTCTATATATCACAAAAAAAAAGCTTTATGATAATATTTGACCCAAAAATTGCCCTGGATTCATTCATATTTTCGTGGAAACATTAGTCTGTCAGACACAGGCGCAGTGCGGATCGAACAAAAGCATATAATGGGTTGAAAGATAGTTTTTTTTCGTCTTTTTAAATCGGCTTTACGTAACTCTGGACGATTTTCTCTAGTTATAATAAGTGAACTTAAAAAATACCGATAGTAATAATAGCATTTAGGTAAAAAGTCTGATGCCAAAACAGTAGTTCTGGATACGGCTCCTACTGTGAGGAGTTTTCTGACTCCGGAACCTGGCTATGCTTTTTCTTGTAGTATAGGTGAGCAAAGGACCAGACGGGTTCGATTCCCACTCAGGACAAATATTGTGTGATGAGCACGATTATTTCTCCTGTGTCTGGGTGTAATTTATCTATGATTTGTATGTATTTAGAAATATATAAGTATGTTTATCAGCAGTCTGGTTACCATAGAGGCTCTGTACAGTTTGGAATCAAAGATCCGTTTGTGAGATTTATTTTATTTACCCGATGTCGGAGGTACTACTTTTTAAATATGTATTTTTTTCTGTATAGAGTTATGTTTAAAAGTATAATTTATATGTTTATAAAATAAATAAAGACAATAATAATAATATTTTCGGACATTTGACACTATGAAAGCTAGATTGACTTATAGAATACTTATATACTTTTTTTAAATACATACATAGAAAACACCTAATCCGAAACAAATATTTGCAGATAATACAAACATTTGGTCCAACCCGGGACCAATATGTATGTATTTAGCTGCAGTCAGGTTATCATAGCACAGGCTCTGCGTAGTTTGGGATCAGATTGAGATATGCAGGGTTATTACTTATATATTACTAAATCCATAGAAAGACAGAACAGATGATCGGATATCAGAATATTGTAAAGATAGACCAAAGAGAATATCTTTGACATTCTCGCCCGTCCTTCAGTCTATCCGTTCAATTCCACCCGTCCAATCTCCCGATGTCAAGCTTCCACCGCCTCAGTTGACGGCCGCCGCTATAAAATTAGATTGAGACTTAGAATCAGATATAAATAGACACAAGTCGGTAGCTCATTGCCTATATTATCGTTGCCTGACCGAATATAAGATTATTAACGTTGTTTGTTACTTTAGTAGTAAGTAAATATGCTGTTCAGGTACATACTTATCCATAGTTTATTATTATTGATGGGTCTTTTGGTCTAGCTAACTAACTAACCAGTGATCCTGACTGTTAAACCAGCAGTTATTGTTGCGATTCCCACCTAGGAATATTATTGTATGACAAGCATTATCATTTTTCTGTGTCTGGGTGTAATTTATCCATGATATGTATGTACTGGTTACCATGGTACAGCTTCTGCCTAGTTTGGGATCAAACGGCCGCAACATTAACATTAAATAATTTATACGTTCAGGAATTAAAACAATTTGAAGTAACTGATTCTCTGTCCAGGTGGTGTTTACTGCGATCACATTCAAACGTATATAATATATGTATATCGACGTCAGAACACGGAAATCTCTTGAAATTGCCTTTTCCTGTTATAATACATTCAAAGATTAAAATTGATAAAAAGACAAAAAAAAAGATGATTATGGTAAAAATTATGATATATTTTTATATTTATTAATAACTACAGTTTTCAAATTGAAATATACCTTCAACTACCTTGATAGTTAAAAAAAACGGTGGTCTTTTTTTGGATTCTGACTAAATATACTGTAATATCGGTGCTAGGTGAAGTGTTTGTCTAACGTTGTTATATAACGAGTTGTTTCTTCACGTATCTTCAAACCACAATTTCACATCAACAGCCTTTAATAGTCCACTGCTGGACATAAGCTTCTCTTTATAAAGGAGGTTGAGGCCTACTATACCACGCTGGACAGACGAGTTGGTAAAGGGTTTGTGTCAAGTTTTCCTTCTCTCTGCAGCCTATCACAATTTAAACCACAATTTAGTCTACCATAATTTAGTACTATCATATAGTATGTCTTAGCAGTCAAAAATCATTAACCATCACAGCTGTCGGCTGTGAAAGTAGATTTCCAATCAATTTTGTACAATATTATTATATCTTGTACAGGCAGTATATTTTTTCCTTATAACGTATTAAAAAGAAGAGAAAATTCAGAAGTAAAACGATTGTAAAAATGTAAAGGAAATTCTAGTATAAATAAAGAGAATAAACAAA